TCACCGGAAAATTTATGCACGGAATATATCCGATCAACCCGGCATGTACCGTGATTACGGCGTTTAAACACGGCGCTTATCGATCGATCGATTCCAAATGGACACCAACATTGGCACTGATAAGAAAGCGCGAGTAACATATCCCGTTATAGTACATCCCAGATTTTGAATAAAAATCCTAAAATTTTAAATCGTCATATCAAAGTCATTTTTTATTTTTTTGTCATCAAACTTTTGGAAAATAACCATACTTATATTATCTGGGGAACCGTGTCTCAATTTTTTTATATCTTTTCTCAAAAGAATATTACGTAACGTCAAACATTTTATGCGACTTTTTTCACCATACATATTACGTATAAAAGATAATTAAGTCGCTGATTGAGCAAACAAAAATCCCTGACACGGTTCCCTCCATAAATGAATTTCCCTTCATGTGCTTTAAACCGCATGTTAATTGCTTGATTATTAAAAAACTTATGCCGATTCAAAGTTAGTCCGACCTGCATCAAACGAAGTGTCATAAATCGGCTGTTCTCTCTCGGACCCATACGTTTCACGCTAAATTATTGCATAATACACAAATATCGCACCAGGAAGGATCACAAGTTGCGGTTACATACTCTAACAACATTTTATGACCCAGTGACATCTGACCAATTAAAAAGCTGCTGATTAATATCAGTTTATAGCCGAAATTTCTTCAATTCCTAACGTGATTTACTGTCCGTCTGGTATCTGTCGCACATGTCACGTGACTATCGGTAAAATTTGAGGCACTCAGTGGGGGCAAATGGAACGCATTTGCGCACCGCTAGCGGGGTATTTAATTGTTTCCTATTTGAAGTTTATTATTATAATCATCAGCATTATTATTGTATTATACCAGTGTCACTCTGCCTGTGTATTCGTGTATGAAATTCCGTTAAAATATAAAATAAAATAACAAAAAACTGAGCTTCTGACAGTCTTTTAAAGTCCATGGTAGATGTACAAATAAGAACGGGATAGTATAAATTTTTTCCACCAAATTGATAATGCTTCACATATTTTAATAGAAATAAAAGGTATTACTCGATCATTATTATGTGGCCTTCTTGACTTCTATTATCATGAATATCATCTATGCACGGCATAGAGATCCAGTTTCTACCGGGATAGACAATAAATTTCATACTTTGCCCCAGATTTATTAGTACTGTGTCGGATTTACTGACGAACAATTTATTTTCACTGAGAATTTATTTTAATATCTTTTTTTATTCATAGAGAAATATTCATCCTTAGACAAAATAAAATGGTTTAGAAAAAGTTGTCAGGGACACCTTACCACAAGTCATATAAGCGTTTACATAAAAAATGTCGTCTGTTGTTGTTTTACTTGACATTGTTAGAAAACGAGGTTGAATGTAAAGTAAGCCCTTGAATCCGTACAAAAGTCTATCAACTCAATGTAATATATATCAGATTAACGGGACAGACCAATTATTTTCACACATTAATAAATTATGGATATTTTAGCAACTACATTTTTAATCAACCCCGTGGTCGTGCGATTTGTCGCTATGCTTAATTATTTATGTTTCATACATTATGTTACGTACATTGGCCGACAATTTCTTAATTTATAAAAAAGGCTAAATGTTGAGATATTCATAAAAGATGTACGGTAGATGAACGATACATGTATTACGAGAAGTATGGACCTGTAATTCACGGATATATGGAACTACCGATTTCCCTCATTGATGCCTCAACAGGGGGCGGAGCGTTATCGATAATCGACAGGTTACGCGAATAGCAGATACAAATAGTATAGGTACCGTTTTAAATCGTTTAAAAACACATTTTTTGGACTAACTGCTTCCAAAATTAAATCACGAATATGTTCAGAAAAGGTTGATAAATCTATTTAGCAAAAAATCTCATTTTAGGTATTTTCAGTGATAATTGACTCCGTTGTCACCTTAAGCTCACGCGAATTAAAAACTACAATAAGAGCGCCATGCGCAGCACACTCGACTATTCTTAGTTCTTGGTAGTAAAATGAAAACCATCTTAGTCGACAAGGCAGTCAATTTTAACAAAATGCTTGACAAAGTTATCTACCCATGTCTAGGGGTTGGGGTCATGCATGGTGGTTAACAAATCTGCAAAATTTCAAAGCGATATCTTAAGGGACTTAAAACATAATTGATGTGGTGTGAAAAATTGAACAGAATATTAAACTAACGCCGACGCCCGGATGAGGTGAAAGCTCTCCTTATTCTTCGAATAGTCGAGCTATAAATTACAGGATGTAAAATCAAGGACGATTAACACAATTGTGTTCTAAAAGCACAACATGACAATATCTTTTTAAAAATGTTAGTATTTATTATAATATTGATTTAAAAAAGAACTTTTATTTAACAATAAACAATTGAAGTAGAAAAAGAATCAGTATTTATTATAATATTGATTTAAAAAAGAACTTTTATTTAGCAATAGACAATTGAAGTAGAAAAAATCAGTGTTCAATTTCTTGGAGCAGCGAACTAGTAGTTGGGGACTGTTTTTCTTCTTTGCCGTTCTATTTTTAATGTTGTCTATGACTTCCTTTATACGTTGTTTCCTATGTATCACAGTATGTCCTGTAAATTACAAAAAAGATAAAATTTCGAAAGGTGCTTCATTTTGTGCTTCATTTTATCAACATTGCTTACCTGGTGTTTTAATAATATCATTTAATCACTGTTGCACAAGAGATAGTAGATCTATTTTGTGATTTTGTGTACTTCATTCAAACATTCTCAATTAATTGAAGTTTCCTAATTACACTTTTCTAATACTAACCATTAACGACACAAAGTATACGGTCATGAGATAATAAGATTACACATTGTTAAGTTGTTTTAATAAAACATAGCAACTATATTCCGCTACTAATCTTTATTACAAATGGCATATTCTTATTAAGGGGAGGTAATTATGGGAGAACAGGATACATATCGGTAAATAAAACAAAATCAAGTCGATGACCTAAAAGAATTGAAGATGGGAAGGTAGCGGGCACTACAAACCAACATATTTTTTGATTTGGCCTAAGCACAATTAAAAACTGAATCACTTTAGTTTAGAAGGACTAACTTTATCAAAGTTAATTCTTCTTTCAAGTAAGCTTAAATTCAATGAATCTATGAAGCGAAAAGCACAGTATTACGGAATACCGTTAGGGCCATCGTGGTTGTACGTTATATTCCAGAGGGCGACAATGTGATAGTGCGACAACACGATGGTGATAGTACGATGACGACAACGCGATAACACGAGGACGACAATGCTATAGACTATCACATTATTGTCATCGTACTATCGCATTGTCGCCATCGCATTATCGCACTGTCGCATTGTCGTACTGTCGTCATCGCATTGTCGCCATTGCATTGTCGCGTTGTCATCATCGCACTATCGTACTATCGTCACTGTACTCTCGTACTATCGCCATCGCGTTGTCGCACTATCACATTGTTGCCCTCTGGATTATTACGTTCAACCACGATGGCCCTAACGGTATTCTGTACAGTATTACTGATAGCAAAGGTTTTTTTTATTATTTTGATTTCTGACAAGGTCAAGCTGATCAACTAGCTAGCTGAACCAAAGTGTTTTTGAGCCACTTATGGCCTCCTGCGTCTAGTTCTGGCTTTCAAATATAATATGCCGTTTTTTTCATCTGAAGAGGCATTTTGTTCCCGTAATGTACAGTAAACTATAAATATGAGAACGTCGAATGTGTTTGACCAACGTACCCGAATCCATGCAGTGATAAATCTAATTCTCATATACATGGAGAGGACCAGATGAATAACCTTGATGAATAAAATTGGTGTGTAATTGTATTTTAGGCATAATCAGTCATTTAAAGAAGAGTGTTTCTTTGGTTTTTTTAGTTTTGTGAATGGTGTTAATACACTAAACGAAATCGATCATTCCGACAACCTTTTCTATGTACATGTATATATAGTGGTCAGAATAATTATGTATATATATACTTATTTAGAATAATTACAAGGATTCTTGTATATACACTTATCATATAGTATCATCATTTTATATCAGTAAATGCATTTTGTAATAATTCAATCTGAACAAGAAGCCAATAACTGATTTGGCATTTTTTTTTTGAAAACTCGAGCTTATCTGCAAGTTTAAATCTTAGTACTTAGTACTTATACGTTTCATTAAGTATAGATTGTTTGATTGATGGAAGTTAGACTCGGTTCCCCCGTGAGGCTTGAAAGAAGTCACTTTTCTCACATTGAGTGAAAGTGTTAATTTCTTATGCATCTAGATCTCAGTGAACAAAAATACACAGACCGTCCAAATTGTATTGCCCGATTAGTGATGGGTATGTATAACATCGCTAAATTACATTATTTAAGAAGAATATTCATGCAAACTATAAAAACTTACATCATCTGACAAATCGCTGTCCGCCATGTTGCATATCCTGGCTTAAAATGAGCGGCAATGCATTATCACAAATTACAAGTCACAACTTAGAAGTCACAAGTCATAACTCCCAAATCAATAGTCAAAAAAAGTCATTAAGTCAGAAGTCAAAAGGGCCCTCCAGTGCTTCCATACGTGAACGCCATGGTTTAAAGTCAACAATTATTTGTGAGTTAGGAGAGAAGACACGACATATTCAATGTTTAATTGTGAGCGAAAATGAAAGTAAACAATATCTAGAGGGTTCTGCCGTTCTTGTGCACAAATAGAGAAAATTAATTCGGTGTATTTTTTCGTTAGTTTCGGGCACACAAGTTTAAACACTCTGACATTGATCCTTAAAGATTCTGTCGTTTTATAATGACATTTAAACTCTCTGACTGGTTTAAGTAGCAAATTGATTTAACCATCTAACATTTTACATAGATCTCTTTTGACAAGTAGACACACTTTCATTGCACAGTTTTTTGTTTGTTTGAGAATATGTGTTTTGTCATTATTTTCAGGATGTAATGTTGAGAATGCTTCTTATGGTTTGAGCATTTGTGCAGAAAGAACCGCTCTAGTGAAGGCTATATCTGACGGTCATAAACAATTTAAGGCAATTGCCATAGCCAGGTAATCAAATAAATGAGCCGCGTCATGACAAAACCAAGATAGTGCGTTTGCGAACAGCATGGATGCAGACCAGCCTGCGCCTCCGCGCAGTCTGATCAGGATCCATGCTGTCCGCTATCAGTTTCTCTACTTGTTATAGGGTTTGTAAGCGTACAGCATGGATCCTGATCAGACTGCGCGGAGGCGCAGGCTGGTCTGGATCCATGCTGGTCGCAAACTCCATGCTGGTCGCAAAATTTTCTTACATATAAGATTTATTGAAAAAATAACGGTGAAGTAAAAAAAAACTTCCTGTCATAAAACTATGCATATCTTGAGGCGATTACCACATAATGTGTAAGTGCAACAGGGGACATGCAGGCACTTCAATTACATAACTTACTACTGGTAAATAAGAAGAAGCCCCTTCAATAGGATAATGATTATGGCGCACTTCCCGCATGTGCAGCTTTTTCAGGGGCAATTTATAGCCATCCTGCCCTCTGGAAAATTCTTTAAAAGCCTCCAGTTTTCCATAAAAATTCAGTTTGCTTAAGTTTTTTCCTCTCCTTTAACATAAATTACATGTTATTTACCAAAAAACTTTAGGAGAGAGCCGTTCCTCTAATCTGTAAAAAAAGCCCTGATTGTGCAGCCTCATTCATATCAGTGAAAGTTCAAAAGAAATGTTAGTATTTAAGGCATGTCTGAAATTTATCAGAGAAATGTAGAATGCATCAGTACCCTCCATTTTATAAGTAGATTTTTACAAAGGTCAACTAGAATTTTAAACCCTAGTTATGCACTTTCCAAAGTTTGAAATGTGGCGATTTTTTTAATGTGCGCCTAAATTGCATCTGAAGTCAACACTTAAAATACATATTTCAATTTTTGCCAACCCCCCGTTAGGAGCAGGGTATTTTGGTTATTTCAAACTTAAGCACCCCGACCGAAAAAAATCTAGATCGTGTCTGTAATTTGAATTCATGTTATTCAAAGGGTAAGATATGGCTTAATACAACATTAAGAGGTTCATTAAAAAGTTGCTTGATTATTTTTTCCAAGTGATATGATCTCCATAAGCTAGCTAGTCACTTTAAGACTTATTAACAAGGACTTGATATTTTATATCATTTATGTTACAGTGATATGTCAAGCTCTATGATAGCACCATGTGGGGCATGTCGCCAGTTCCTGGTAGAGGTATGTCTGACTTTGTTCATCAGGATATGTTTCATACATCGTATATACGTATACGTTCCTGGTTCCATTAGTTTGTTTGTTTGGGTTTTACGTCACACCGACACATTATAGGTCATTTGGCGACGTTCCAGCTTTACTGGTGGAGGAAGACCTCAGGTGTCCCTCCGTGCATTATTTTAGGCAACAACGGGCGCCTGAGTAGAACCACCGGCGTTCCGTAAGCTAGCTGGATAGCTTCCTCACATGAAAGAATCCAAAGTCCCTGTCAGGATTCGAACCTTCAGCGGTGAGGGGCAAGTGGTTTGAAGTCAACGGCCACGGACGCCCCATTACAGTTTTTCTTAACCAGCACTTTTACATTGTTATATACACAAATGTATTATAATAGAACTTAAAATCACTAATATTTCAATTAATAATCTGAAGTTTACTTAATAGCTTTCTTAATTTTTAACGTCATCATATCGTCACTTCATTTCGTTCATTTACAAATATCACCAGTAATATATATGCTTATACAATGGTTGAATACAACGCAGTGTATCTAAAATATCTAAACTTGCATAAATCATACAGTGTATTCTTTTATTGTTGTTGTTGTTTTTCCCGGTCGTTCCAAAATTGCTTGTGAAAAGCTACATTTACATTTTCGTGATGAGAAAATTAAATGCTAGCCACTTATTGAAATGAATTTTGATTTTCTAGTAAGTGAAAACACGATACTGTTTTTATGCTATACCTTATGAAATATAACTAATAAGGTTTCAGCTTTGCCCTTCCGAAAATTTTTAACATCCCTTTTGTAAGAAAAAGCATCAAAAAGTCATTATTTTAATTTTAGTATCTATATACGTAATAAGAGAGGTATAATTATTATTCAAGTATACTGTATATATGAAGTTGAAAAAAACCTCCGCCCATAAAGAAAGGTATCATGAATAAGTTTTGTTTTTCTTTTCAGACAGTTCTTGTATTTGGAACGGCCTTCCTGATTATATTAAGTCTGCTACATCTGTTAACCATTTTAAAACCTTATACTTGAGGTTTTATCACGCATTGATGTATACAAATTGATAATCTCCTGTATGTTGTTACATTTATGTATTTTAATAGTTTGAATATGTTAAATTTATATTGTTCCTTGTTGAGGGCCTCATGGAAGATTGATATGTTTATTCAAATGAGTTCTCTCGTTAAATAAAGTCTTTATTATCATTATTACTATTATTATTATTATTATTATTATTATTACGGATTTTCTTTTTGTGTCTATATTATTGTGATATTTACGCTGGGTCGTAATTGTTCAAGAGTAAAACATCATGTTTGTTCAGACTATTTCACAGACAGTGTTGAATGTGTTTGTTCTATTTTACAGTTTGGTGTGGACTGGGACGTGTATATGACAAAACCAGACCATTCATATAAAAACATGAAGACTGGTGATCTTTTACCTCTTTGTTTTGTACCGGACAGTCTCGACGAGGAAAGAATCAGTCATTCTGCATAAATTAGAAAACAGATAGACAATCACCAGAGAGACAATTTTCAAAATTTTAATGTTTGAAGTAGATGGTGGTAGTATAAATGTCACCTAAAATGTAAAACTTCATACTATGTATTTGTATACATTGCTTGCAATGTATACAGAGTTATAAGCTATATCTCAGAAAAGATACAGGTTTAATGCATTACCGAACAACATCCACTCCCGGATAAAATCCGCTATAGAAACTAGTTCTTCATTCTGCAGTAGCGTTACATTCCGACTACACATCATTAAAATAATGTTTGCAAAGTTGTTTAAATGCTTTGAAATTTCCAAATCGTTCATTTTCATGAAATAATAGACTCTACATTCCTTTTAAGAAAACAAAAAATAACAGTTCATTGATAAAATCGTAGTTTATACCTACGCGTAAAACTTCGCATATACGCATGCGCTTGCTAGCATGAATGAATACATCGTGAATATAGTAAGGCAATCGCAACTACTCGGCCCTTTCCGTCAGTCTTCGGATAATAAGGTCGTCAGAATTATATAATTATATAAATGGGTCGAAACATCTCAGATAGATATTTAATCAAATAAAATTCCCGATTTACATTTATGCAATAAAATTGCCCTAAAATGTTTTACAAAATGAGTATGGAGCTCCGTAACAAAATCTACCAGCGTATACCGGAAAATGTTTTTTTTTTGTTCTTTTTTTTCTAAAAAAACTGGCAATTATCGTGGCTTCGAAAAATAGAAATTCCGTAAGCTATTCTTTTGAATACCTTTTTTTACACATGATTTTCCTTTCACTTTTATATGCCTTAGATTTTTGAAAAGAAATATCTTTCGAAATTCAGTTAAAAAAAAGATTCGGCCGCTCGATCGTTCGACCCATAACAATTCGTCGAACTTGGGATATTGACGATTAAGCCAGAGCATGGAGCTAAATATAAACATATGTGTCCAGATTCGACGATAAGAAATAATCATTTGAAACTAACTGTAAATCAGTGTAAGCATTAAGAAATAAATACATTAAATTTATGTTCAGAAAATAGGAATTATTTTAATCTTCTTATATTAATGGGTGTATGGAATTGCCGAAAAACACCAAAAAAATACCGAAAAACACTTAAAATACAAAAAAAATATTTAGGCTGTGATTAAATTCAGCAATATAAACAATTTTTGATGAAATGGGTTCAATAACATCAGTTTTAAATCGATGATATATCATAAAATACGCTGATGAATGTATTCGCTGAGCCTGCGTCGCACATAGAAAAGCCGGAAAACACATGTCACAGGCAAAAAAAAATGCTAATTTCCATTTTATTCACCAGAGAAATTGTTTTTCACAATTCCGATCAATAAATTTATCAGTTGTCAGCATTATATCAAAAAGAACACACTGTAAAAATGTTTTTGGAAACACAACGGATAATCTTAGAATATATGGATAAGCCGAAAAACACTTTTCACGGCGATACAATTGGTATAATTCTAACAAAATTAGTTTTATCTACTTTTTTCTATCCTTTAAATGATTAATATTTACTTTCCTTTTGCAACCAGTGTAAATTAGAGAATGATTCTATTCTCTGTTTAATGCGATATGAAAGTGTTTTCGGCAAAGTAACAGTCTAGCTTCAAAAAACATGGAAAAAAAAAAAAAAAAAAAAAAATTAAAAAAAAAACAACATTTTTTACGGGCGTTAAAATAGATAGTCGTAGTTAAAACAAGAGCCGCTATTTTTTTCAACCTTTTAAATGAATAGATGTACTATAATTTGGTAATTAAGTCTTGTAGGATGATTCAATTTATTGACTTTGTATAGAGTTCAAGCCAGATCATGTATTTTATAATATTAGATAGCATTACTGGAAACTCAATATGACTGTTTCAATATTCTATACTGCAGTCCATTTAACGGGTGTTTCAAAAAATGATTTCTTTATTGCTCATCTATCAGCTTGCCTAGCAATACGCATATGGAACATCACATCTTCCTTGTCTCATAAATAACTTTGGAAGAAAAAAGCCTTGGTGCATGTGAGTCACTTGTTAGGGACATTGACCGTGGTCAGAAGATGACCCCTATTGTTTTCGAGGTCAGTAGGTTAAAATAAATATGGTCTTGATGACATTAATGGATTATATTATCAAGCAATGTATACTTCAGTACTTTCAGTGCTTTGATTTATACTTGTTACTTGTTTAACCCTTTCACTGCCATAGGGACGGCTTAAGAAGTCGGCGTATTTGCCATATGGACGGCTTTAGCCGTTTCTATAATAATCATAATAATAATAATAAATTAATAATAAAAATAAATATAAAGAAAATTATACCATCGACACTAATTATTATTAAAAACATATATAATTATTATAATACTAATAACAAATGATAATAATAATTATAATAATTAATAATATAGTTATTTCTTAGAAATAGGTGATCAATAAAACAATAACCCTCTGGCAGCGAAAGGGTTAAATTATCTTGTTATATATTTATTTATATTTCTTTTACAGCTGACTTTATAAAATCTATATAAATATAACTTTAATTATAGTAATGATAATAAGAATAAAGATAATAATAATTATAGTAATAATAACATCTTTATTTAAAGAAGGTAACACATATAGGTATATCATCGTAGAAAATAAGTAACATATATTAATTATAAATGTGGTCTTCTAAACAATATATAGAATTACAAACACAAAAAACATCATAAGACAATAGCAACTCTTCCATTAAGATTTTCTCCTAAAACTTTTTTTCGACAAACGCTCCTGTTGGATATAAAATTTCATTTATACAATATTTATTTACAAATATAACACAGATATATTAACAGATATACATGTATAATAAGTATTACAACATAATGACAGAGTTATGAAAATATGAAATTTTATTTGATTAGCAAGATACGTTTTTACATACTTATTTTTAAAAGATGTCAGAGAATTAGGATGGTATTCTATTCCAAATCGTTGCACCATTGTTACAAATCTTTTTTACCATAGTTTGTGCGGTGTTTAGGTATAACTATGTCATTATGTGATGCTGATCTTAAATAGTGAATTTTGCTAAAAAAGTCAAAATTTCAAATATATAAGATGGTGCTAGGTTATTATAAGCTTTATTAATAAGAATTCCAGTATGAAAAATGCATCGTCTATTGAATGACATCCCCCCAAGTTCTTTCAGCATATCTTGATTTCTTATCCGTGATGTTTTGTTTAAAATGATCCTTGCAGCTCTTACTTGTATTTACCTATTTTATTTACAGTTGCTCCAAACAGCATAGCAATAATCAAAATTCGACATTATATATGCATTAACCTATAGCTCTTCAGCGCTTCTTATGTAAAATTCTTCCAAGTATAATTTCCAATAACCGTAAATTATAAAATAACTGTTTCATTTAATCTGTCAAATAATAAAATATACGCCTCAATAATGCTAATTTTGGGTTAAGTTTTGAACAAAGTGCTTCAATTGGTAAATCAACGACCAGTTATTAATAATATAAATACCTTATAATTTTTGTATTATTACATTTTCTATATTTTTTGTTTTGCAACATAATATTATAAAGTTATATTAGTTCATTACAATAATTACTTTTTTGTTCCGTACATCGTTTTATTTGGATGGATTAACATAGTGTTTAAATTGCACCATCGATCTATCGTATTTAAATTTTGTTGAAGTTTACTTTCTACAACATTCAAATCATGATCAGATACATATATGGTAGAATCTTAAGTGTTGGAAATTGAGTACCGGTGCTAGGGGCGTGAGGGATGTTGCACATTTTCATTAACTCTCATGTACAGACTCAATCGAACCGAGTCTGCAACTGTCATGTAATTTTGCAGATTTGCTGATTTTATTTTTCCAGATATTGATAGAAAATGCAATCTTGTTTATGTAGGTATAGAAAACTGATTTGCCATTTTCAAGTACACGTATATGTACCTTTAAAATTGATAAAGTACTAATTTATACATACAAGAAATGTATAAGTAGCAAGCAAAATGTCCAGTCTAATTATAAAATCGTAAAATAATCTACACAGTCGGTTAATAAAATTTATAAATCACATGCCTGATTTACTTGGTAGTAAGAGCCTATCGCGGTTGAATTTTCTTTCATGTATAAAAAGATCATTAATGTCGGGTGCATAGGTGTGAAGGTTATCCTGGTTTTATACTTGTTTATTATGGTACAACATGTATAAAACTTACAAATTACTTAGCCGCTACTTGATGGAAGTCTAACTATATACTGTCTGCTTAAGAAAGGCGGTTTCTTAAAACATATGTAACTGAGAAAAAAATGTAGGCTTTTAAACATTTTTGCATTTATTTTTATTAATATACCAACCTACCGCAAACTACCGCAAACTACCTTAACGTTGCCATCATAATATAGATATCATGTCTATTAATCGAAGAAATAATGTCTATATATTCCTATCTTCACAAGAACAACGTAGTTGCTGTAAATTCAGCGTTTACAATTCAAAGGAAACTTAAGACATAAAACTATAGATGACGAACACGACATGTAGTGCATTCGTTCAGTTTAATAATGTCAAATAAGGATTCGCATTAGTTTTTATTTGAAAAATATCTTTTGAACTAAAATACGCTCAAAATCAACATTATAGAATAACCAATTTTGTGCTTATTTAAACAAGAGGCGATGGAAAATGGAATACAAAGCTCATCCTGACATAATTATTATATGTAATTTTGGTTTTGGAGTGATATATGTGGATACATTACCTGTCAAGATTTTATATCACCCGGGTGATATTTTATCTTGGCAGGTAATATATCCACATATATCACTCCAAAACCAAAATAATAGCGAGCTCGACGAGCTGGCCCGAAGGGCCTGCTCGCAAAGCGAGCTTTACGGTAACGCGAGTACCTGCTAAGTGATGGTTTTGAAAACTTTCGTCCAAAGTTACGAATTTGACACATCGCAACCTTTCGAATTTAAAGATAACGATAAAAACTGAGGAATTCTGACTGAAAACGGATGTGTAGACTGGTCACCCGCGCGCGTCTATGGGAACCATAATTGGACAGGGAACCAGAATAACGTAAGCTGTGTATAAAAAATGAAAATCGAAGGCGCCATTTTGTTTGAAAAATCTGATAAATAAAAACATTTTTTTTGTCAAATTTTGTTGTGAAAACTATCTAGAATGTAAGAAAATGGTCTAACTAAGAAAATGAATCCGAACACCAATATCTTTTATTCAGTCGTTAACGCTGTACAGACGTTTAAAGTATCGTTTACGTGACGTCACAACGTAGCGCCAAACAGCACGTGCAAAACAAACAAATCAAGTACACTATTTTAATGTCGCAAGCGTGTTAAGTTTTACATTTATTTCACTTGAAATAATCTATATTTCGCTTGAAAAATTATAGAATGAAATAAAATAAACAAAGTTTTATCAACGTTTTCAAAACTCGTTATTCATTTCACGACAGGGGCGGAGCCATATTTAACACAGTACGTGTGACGTCACACGCACTCGTCACTGCATTTGAAATAAAAATGAGCTTTCATACAAGTACATCGAGCTCGCTTTGAGGCTTTGCCTTTTTCATATTAATTTTATTACCCTTCCCCTGCCGAGATAGTTCGATTTTAAAAACAAATCATTGCTACTTCAAATGAAACGTCGAAATAAGATTCCCCTTAGGGTACCCATTCACCACTACATGACGTCACATAAATACATGACGTATTTTCTTTCGAACCTAACGAATGTAAACAATAGAAAAGGAGTAGTCTGTTGAACGCACTTTTTTAAATTAATATCAAGCTTTTACTTTCAATACTGATGAGAATATGTATGATTACTCTATTTTGGTAAATATTTATCATTTGACAGTTAAAAAGTGCTTGTAAATCAAAATTTACATCGCGTAAAATCAAACTGTACGCGCATCGCCACAGCGCATGTTCTTTAGAACTAGGGGTACCCAACGGGGAAATTTAGTGTGTATATTACCCGTCTGGCTCGGTAATATCAATCTCTTTCGGGTGATCAATATCCAATCAAAAAGGCGGACATAATCTGGAAGGGTATTAAAAAACTATTTGTAACTCGCGCTTAATCATCAAAGTTTAATTTAGCATTGCAAACTCGTTTTTTAAAAATGAATATATCCATTTTTCAAAAGAGTTTCTTCGGTATATGAAAAAGATTTCCGACGAAATCCGTAACGTTTTCCAGGAACTCCGTGACAGTTATCATAAAAACTCCTGACAGGTTATCTTAAGAACTCCATCATTCGTGTAATGTGAACATCACTTTTCCCATCACTTTGAAACAGTCCCTTCCGAACTAGATCTACGTGACTCTCAATAACGACTATTCGCACGATAATGAGCAACTTATCATCTTGTCCGTGCTTGTAGAATGTACCAACATTTCTCTACTGGTCAATCGGAACGTCTTCGGCTTCGGCTATTCTTCAAAGCGTCTAGAGGTACTGCTCCAATCCTGTATTGAGTTAAATCCATTCTTCATAATTTGAAGACTGACGGAAAGGGCCGAAAGGTTGCAATTGTACCAACATGACCGATGTAATTTTGGATGTTACGACGTATCAATCCTCAATGACGGTTAACTTTTCACGTTATATTAATACATTAAAAGACAATGCAATACACAATATGTCATATTTGTCTACAACATTTTAGTTGAAATTATAAGGTCACCAGTTTAATGTTAGAATGGGGGATAAAACATAATGATATCTATTAAAGATATGATTAATAAAAGTCAACCAATGCATACTTTGCTTTAAAACCTTTTTCGTAAAACATTTAAAGTTTGATGAAGAATCTGATGAAGAATCCAAAGCATATTTATACTTTGTCTTTACCTTTTTTCTTCTATAATTACTTATTAATTTTTATTTGTTTCAAATAATGCTAATGAATTGTATAAAAACCTGAAAGACTAAATCTTTAATTTTGTGTGACATTTGTTCGTCTACATTCACGAGTCCATATATCACGCAACGTTTTCGGATCCATCAGATGGGAAGAGTACATCTGTGTGCCTTTATATATACAAGGGTCAAGAGAAACTCTTCTACGATTAAATCCACTTACATTTATGATATTTCCACGAATCTTATATAAACACAATCCTATATATACATCCTCTAAATGAAAGAATGGTGTTGTTGCTGTTATGTTATATAACTTAGCAGCTAAATGCATACTTGTGACGTATGCAGTTCCAGAACAAAACCCTGGATATTTTTTCTCTTTATAATCGCTAACAGAAGCATACCATTTGGATTTACTATTTCTAATCGGTGCTCCGGTACTACATGAACCGGCTAAATTATTGTCCAGTAGAACACCTTTACTGTGTACTAAACTGAGTATATTCCATACATTTATATACATGTCATCATCTGTCTTCATTACATATTTAGCAACTGAGCAATGATTTACTACCCATTTATAACCCATGACAGTCTTATAAGTTAGATTAGTATACGAATCTGAAAAGTCCTCTTTAATTATATCCTGATAAATTGCGTTTTCTTTCAAAACACGATAACGGAGAGCCTTGTCACCAATTTCTCCTAAAAGAAACACATAACGAACGTTTGCAGTATTTTTCTTGGAGAGGCTAAGCCATGTTTCCCGAATTGCATTTCTTCTGTCTAAATTTTGATGGGTTGTAAGAATCATTATAATCAAGTCTACAGTCTTAGTTCTGGACACAGTCTTACAAATGTTCTCATTATTAATGATATAACTGAAATTGTGTTGGAAACATCCGTTACAACTGCTTGTTCTTATTGAACCCGGTGCTGGTACCACTTTTTGTTTATTTTGTTGCACACCATATTGTAGACTATTTTGAGATTTCTCAACATGAACACCATTGCTTGATGGTATTAACCCATCTGACGTGTTCTGTAATGAATTATTCTTTTCTTTATCAAGTTTAATTTTAGATAATGGTTCTTGTATGTCATTAGGATTATCAGATTTAAAGGCTGACGATCTTACAGATAATTCTATAATATTTTCACTGTAATCATCTTCCAAATGGTTGTTTACAACTTGATCAAAGTCCGTTTTTATGGCAGGGCTGAATTGAAAGAAATATGAAGTAACATTGTATTGTAGAGACGAAACGTTAACAAGCACCAACATCAATGAAATTAACACTATTACATATAAAGTTCTCCGTTTTGCCGCCATTATCACAGATAATATATTAATATTTCCTCCACTTTATCTTCAACTATAACCGAGAATTGTCTATTTCTTGTCACTTGATAAAACTTGCTTCCATTAGGGTAAACGTCATCAGTCACCCACCCTCAGATTTAAAATATCACAAACAAGTTTAAAAGTCAATTCGTACAATTAAGGTGATGAACAAACTCAAATTTCCGCTGTGTAACTCGTCCCCAATATCCGGCAATGATAACATTCAAGTTTAGTTTGCTTCAATCTTATCTAAAGAAATGAATACATCCAAATACAGAAATATTTTGAATAAAAGGTTCAGATAGTGATATATATAATGAAATGTTGCGATATGACAGATAGTGTATTGAATGTTTTTACAGATACATGGTCTTCGTAACCATATATATAAGAAAAACATGTATTTACCTTAAGGCGCTATGATGACCACAATAATTGTTTTGATATTATCTCAGCTGCAATAATTATATTTTACGTGTATAAATGTTAAATTTCATTATTTTACCCGCACATGTGATGACTGTCTATATTTATCTGGTCAATCCTGAATAAAAACTCTGAGGAAAGTGTTCAACAATTAATCTTACATATACACGTAAAGACGTGTCGTAATGAATATCAATATAATAACAGTGCTGTTTCGTTTATTTAAATGTATGTACCTGTTGAACCTGAGCGTGAGTCGTCGTCCAGTTTTTAAGCAGGTAAAATTGTCTTAAGGCAGCATGCCTCCAGAAGCATGCTAATTTTCATAAAAATTTTGGAAATGTATTAAAAAGTAAAATATTGTAAAATGAACAAAGAATATTAAAAAGTAAAATATTGTAAAATGAACAAAGAAAATAACTTTCACATTGCAAACAGCACTTACAAACCATATTTATAACTAAAATAGGTCAAAATATGCAAAAAATAGCCTTAGTAACGCAATAGAAATATGTTGGAAAATACTGCAAAATCGGTTTTAAAGTTCATAACATGGAAATTGTTACTTTTATCTTGAATCGTTTTACTTTTGTAAATATCTCAATACTTTTTCACCAGTTTGATTTTCTTGAAATATTTTGGTACATCTGGAGGCATGCAGCTTTAAAAGTGATTTACGCAAGGTCTTTGCTATAGCATTAAGTCGCCGGGTAAAATTTAAAAATGAATGATTTTATAAACATAAATATAAGAAAATATCAGTTTAATGGTTCAAGTATAAAGAAAAGAGGAACAATATGTTGAGTTATTGTTTATTCACATTTGAAGCAAACTTGCTTAGCAATATTGTCAAGAAACAGCTATCATTATTAATTAAGCAAGTATTGTTTGGCAATATTGACCTGAGACTCATTACTTTTCTGGAGGTGTTTCGTTAGTTTCCGTAACTTATTATGATTAATATTTAAGATTTTATTGATAGTATAGATCTCGATATTGAATCAATTAATACCACTCGATGGCCTAGATGTAAGTATGAGAAGTTGTGACCTAGTAGGTGCAAGATCTTTGACAATTCCTTTTTGTAGTTTCAAATATTTTTTTGTTTTGTTTCTTTTAACTAAATAAAACACAAATTGATAAATCGTGTTTTTTATTTCTAGCATTTTTTTATTTCATAATTTTGATTAATTTTATATTTGTAATTCTACTTGTAATTTTAATTCTACCTTATACATAATTATACCGTTGTACTATACATTGAAATCCATATGGTTTACTTCAGAATCCGACACTTACCGACATGTAATTACCGGTCATTGAATATTTGCAAAGTGACTATGAAAATAAATATGTTTTAATTATTGCATGAAACAATGCAATTCTACCGTAAAAGTGGTGTCTGCAGGCCTAGCGGCCTGGCGGCATGAAGTTGGCGGCTTGGCGGCTCATCGGCCTGGCGGCGTGAATTTGGCGGCCTAGCGGCCTAAATCTTTAATTTCTAGTAATGTTATAAAAAGGATAAAAACGGTAATTAATGATGCTCTTAAGAGAATCCTTGTTGTTTTAAATTATTTAAAGGGTTTATAAAAAGAAAATATAACTTTGTGATACTTTTCTCATTTAATCATTTTTGTGAAGTTGGGGGCCTAGCGGCCCGGCAGCCTAGCAGCCCGGCAGCCTAGCAGTCTAAAAATTTTAATGTAAAAGAAATTAAAACGACTCTGAATTCAATTTTAAAGACATATCTTATCATCTTAAAGTTACATAAGAGAAAAAATCACATTCATAAATTTTGTATTCCAGGGGCCTGGGAGCCGGAAATTTTACTGTCGTAGAAATTTATATAAAAAAATAACAATAAAAACGGCACTTATTGAAACTCTTAAGGCTATTCTTGATATTTTAAAGGTATATAAGAAGAAGAAAAATCACTTTGAGAGATTTTTTTTATCTATCATTTTTTGGGAAGTTGGCGGCTGGCGGCCCCTGCGGTCTAAAATTTTAATGTTGTATGTTTATGCCCAGCGGCCTAAAATTTTAATGTTACAGGAATGTTATTAAAAACAAAAGAACGGTATTTAATGAAGCTGTTTATACATAGAGGATATTTGTTTGTTTGTGCGTAAGATGAAATTTTAATTCATCAAGTCGGTTTTAAAAACAGTATTCTCACGAGATAAAATAAAATAAAATCTTACACAACAAACACACAAATTTTCTTTTTATTTTATGTTTAAAACAAGATAAAACGAAATTTCCTTAAGATTAACGTTAATATTAAAATTTGTTTTCCCCATTGAGAGCCTCATTCAACCGAATTTCTCATTAAATACAAGAAGTCGTGGGCTGAAAAATAAGTTCGAATCAACGTTAAATGGCGGTAATATCATTCATTTTATTAAAAAGATATAAATGATCGTTGGTTTTAATGATAAAAACAAACAATTCTAGTAGGAGAAAAAAGTCCAGCCATCCATCCATATTTCTGTTACTTACTGCGAATTTATATTAGACCTGGCTCTTTTAAATGTAAGCGGCCGCCATTTTTAAAAGTTGTATATTTCACAGGAGTAAACTAATTGTGTTTGATTCAGATGAATATCGTGAGGATTTGTTAATCATACACCTTTTTAAAAGAAAGAAAACTAATTTGAGGATTGTAACAGACAATAAATATGTGTTAACAGATGTGTAACATTTTAAAAAAGCGGCAATGAAATTGGAAAACTAGGAATTTGTTGAAATGCTGTCTAACGAAGTTATACGAACCCTGGGTTAATTACTTATTTTTCGGGCTGATGGCTGTCATTGCTTTTCAAGTTTTCATAAAGCAAACGGTAGTTATTGCTCGTAGGAACTTAAATATGCCAAATGTCATCAAGAGCAGTTTTGTGGAAGGAATGTATTTTTCAGACTGTAAAAATGAAACAAAAAAATTAAGAGACGTATTTTGTAGTTGGTAATTTGAATGAATAGAAGTAAGTTTTCTTCTTTTGATTACTTTTAACATTTAAGTTATTTATCAATTTCAGCTTTGCTTTTTTTCTTAACAGCCTGACATTGTTAAAATTGTCAGCAAAAATAAAAACGAGGTACCACATGGGGAAAATCTTTTAAAAGTAGTTTCGTCACTGAAAAGTGTGAAATTATATTTTGATAATTTTCACTGTGAAATTATCAAATATAATTTTCTCGGATACATCAGTAATTCACTGAAAAGCATAAAATAAAATTCTTTTAATTCTTAGTTCCTTAGTTCCTTAAAGGATGTGTAAAAGGAAAAAATGACGTTGAGAAAACTTTTTTATGTCATAATGTTTGTGAAGTTGGCGGCCTGGCGGCCCAGCGACCTAGTGTCCTAAGATTTTTAATGTTGTAAAAGTTTGTCAAAGAAATTAAAACGACACTTAATATAGTTTTAAAGACATATCTTATCATCTTAAAGTTACATGAAAGAAGAAGAAAAAAATCACATTCAGATTTTTTTAATATCAGATTCAAAAAATAGTAAAGCTGTATCTCTTTTTATTTCTTTGTCATAAAACAAGTCATTGAACAAGTCAGAAGTTACATGCTTCAAACTTTGCACAGATGTTGTCTGGACCATTGTCTTTGTATCGGCATGCTCAATCATAAACTTCCTGTTATCATGGCAACGAGGGGAAATCTCAAAATTGCCAAAAATCACTATTTTCCATCAAAACTGATTTCGAAGTGTTGCAAATTCGCACTTGATTGAGATAGAGTCTAAGGCTTTTCAGCGTTTGTTACACGTAACCTTATGATTGACCTGAGGCCATTTTTGGCCTATCACAATTCAAAAATTTTCTTCGAACTTTTTACGATTGTTTGAATCTGATATCAAAATAATGAAAAGAAAACGAAAAGATGCAAAGATACATTTAATCAGACAAAGAGTTGATAGAAATCATGAAAAACTACATCAATTGTGGACCAGCGAATGTAAGAAAGAAGAAGAAAAATAATTAAATATCTGGGAAAAGAAGAAAGTTTGGGTAATGGATTATGAAACCAATGGATTATGGTACCGATATATTTCTAACAGAAGATAAACCAAGAAACAACAAAGTAAAAATGCAAGAAAGAAATATTAGCAATGAAGGCACACATCAAACTAGATTTTCAGAAATTACCCGATATGAAAATACAAATTCGGTAGAGAAGACCCATGAAAGAAGATATACACAGTTTAATAGATATAATGATGAAAGAATTAACAACTTTCCTTTGAAGATCGGCGATTCAAATTTCAGTATTGGAAAATTTTGGGGTGCTCTAAATGAGGTATCAGTACACTTTGGGGTGCTCTAAATGAGATATCAGTGCACTTTCTCGCGCATGCCCAGTTTATAATTTAATTTCAAATTATAAAGTGAGTATACCTGAAATAGAGCAAAACATAACACTACTAAGGTAGCCAGCACTGGACATAATTCCAGTAATGTTCCATGTTACAACATTTAACATCATAATAAGATATAAAACTACAATAATCTGATAATGACCATCATTTGATATATTATTTATTTTTTTTAATATAGTTTTAGTCAACATTGCACTTTGTTTCATCCAAAATACTGAAATGATTTGACCAATGTGAATGGTCCAAGACATTCTGATATAATTCTCCCTAGTGATGCCCTTTGTATTTTTGCATTTTCAAACAATCTATCGCCGCTCTCGAGTTGTCACCCGTATCGGTATTGTTTCCCCTATTTTCTCGGCCTCAGGCGTATAACTTGCTACGTCATTGAATGAGACTGACCCCTCTCTCTCCCCTTGTTTGTCTGTCTCCAAGCATAAATATGGTGTACTCGCATTTTTGAAAGTGATGTGCTATCACTTTGGCATAAGCGTTCCGCTGTGTATGCGTAAATTGGCGGAGAAAATGCACAAGCATTGACAACCGTTTTGCTTTTCATATTATTTCCACTGTTTGATTTCCTTGAAAACCCCGGATTGATGTAGTCACGTTCCATTTGCACTTCAATTAAACGCACTCGGTCTTCAAATTCAATAACCCGCCTGACCACAGATTGCGTTATATTTCAATTCGTAGCTACTGTTGATGAAGACACAGTGTTTGTAAGTTGTGCACAATTAAGTATATCTGTCTTTATTTTTAAATAGGTATCTTTAACATATTTCATTTGGTCATTGTGTGAAATCTCTTGGGTTTAATAAGTAAAATGTTTGCTTGTAATGCTATTAAATCTTTCATAAAAGATATCTCGTTACTACAAGAACATTTTTCTGTTGGCCTTATCGCTGACATACTCCCTACATGCTGTTTGCGGACCTTTGCAGTACTAATCACGTTCTTTAATATGTTAAAATCGGTACCTTCAGTCAAGCATATGATGTTTTAGATATATTGTGACATTCTAAATGCAACTGGATCCCCTGAGCAGGTAAAAACACACTTTTTGAGTTCCGCATTTTTATCAAACGGAAATTCAGCACACGTGTGTTTAAGATGTTCGAAGTAATCACATATCATGCGATCTAAGTCAGTTTCAGAAGAATTATACTTCCGCAAAATTAACCGGACACAAATATCACGTGGGTTTACTCTATATAACTTCACTAGGACCTTATATTCCTCAACAGCCATAAAGTCACACTCATTGAGGTCATTCAATAGAACGTCACCAGTATGCTGGTCAGAAAATACGGACAAATCATGTGTAAAAATGACGTCATCAAATGAGCTGTCGCAAGACTCCGCCTGCTTAAATTGTTGCCCTGGAGTTACAAGGTCCAATGTTTCATTATCACTGATCTGATGATCTTCGAGCACATTTAACTTGGCGTAAATATGTAATTTTAAGAGATTTATGAGAGACACAAAAAGTACGTCTTCATACTTATATTTGACCGTCTTCATACTTATATTTGACCTTGACCATTATGTACTTCCATTTACCCATATTTCCAGTTTCATAAAAATATTTTCAGTTATTTTTACATCATCATGGGATACAGTATCGTTGACCCATCCGTTCGGAATGGAATAAGGGGTAATTTCTTGAGAAATATTCTTTTGTTTAATAGAGGGCCAATGGCCACTTACTCTATTGTTATGGAATGAACACTATTGTTCTCTTTTGTTCTGTTTATAGTTAGATGGCCTATATCTATTCGGTAGTGTGGACAGACAGATGGACAGATGGAGGGTAAATCTAAAGTCCCCTCTGGTTAAATCGGCAGGGCTTTAATTATCATAATGACTGCAATGTGGAGGTCATTGTAGGCAGAGGAAATAAAATAAAAAGCAAACTATTTATACAATTTTCAAAACATTTTAATATCTTGTCAACAGTAGAGAAAAGCTTAATCTAATTAATATTTAACTGAAAACTTACTGGTGTAATCCAATGTAGCACTTAATTAATGATAAACATAGGCAAGATAAATGTAACTTATCTAGAATCTAACAAAAGTAAACAAAATCATATAATGTAAGGTCATACCAATTTTGTGTGTGAGATACTAAAATTTCTTTCCAATAAACCAAACTATAATAGAAATGTGGTAGATATTAGTAAAAGTATGTCAGTTTGAACTTCTTATACGAGTTTGAGGTATTATCCTGCACTATGAACAGTATAATCATGAAATAATCAGATCTAAATTAATATTTTATGTTACATGTTATGTAGCATCATTTTATCTTATGTACAATAAATAATGTACTTGTTTGTCCCCTAACATAGGTATATAACACAAATACAGCTGTTTGACAAATATCTCAAGAAAAAAATTAAGAAGTATATTTGAAATCAAATTGCACATTAACATGTCTTTAGATAGATAATCTATAGCTAGGAAAGCTTGGGGGAGAGATCTGTCTAATGGGAGATTCAATTTTCATTAAAATACAAGATATATAATCAAGATAAGTGTGGAAGTGAATTGAAGTTAAAGTGTTACTGAAGTAATGAAACAACACAGGTGGTTGTATAACATGCCTATATAAATGTCAGGACTATACACATTAAGATAGAGACATGCATGATTAGACTTAAATAAATGTCAAAATAACTGAATATTACAAAGTATGCACTATTTTCAGGACATATACTACAACTGTGGTCTATTTATAAAATATACAATGTTTTTTTCTGGATTAAAGTGAAGAAAAACAAACAACACATTACAATGTAGAATACAAACAGCTGGTTTAACATTTGAGCAGGAACTTTCCTGTTTCTATGTTTACAATGATTTGTTGCTAATGTTTTTCTTTAGTATCAGCTCGTAATAACACAACGCTGACCTTTCATTGAAATTTGCCTCAGGACCAAAAACCCCTAGACAGGAAGAAAATGGTCCCACTTCCACCCATTAATAACAGGAAAATGAACTAAAGCCTCGAAGATTATGAACAACATGATCCTATTCACAACTGTAAATACTAATTTTGTGAGTGTAAAAGAAACAAGATTGCAATTATGAACTAGAAATGTGTCCAAAGGACACGGGTGCCCCCACCGCGCCACTGTTCTGTCAATCTTATGACTCTAGGTCAAATTTTTTTTGAAAACTAAAAATCTTAGTAAAGGGCAAGATTTAAAACTACTGAATAAATCCACAAGCAAAACCCAAGTTGAAAATTGCAAATTTATACTACTGTAAGTCAAGGGCAATAACTCTAACAAAACTGAAAAAAATCCACCTGCAAAGTCCCAGGTTCATAGCTTCACAGTGATGTGAATCATTATTCCTGTAATTTAGTGATGTTGATCATTATTCCTGTAAAGTTGGTCGATTCTAACTCAAACACTCAAGGAACAAATAACAACATAATGAAACAGTTTTTACTAAGTCAAGGGCAATAACTCTAAAAATACTAAATAAATCCAGACGAAAATACCCAGGTGCACAACTACACATGCTGATCAATATTCCTGTAAAGTTTCATAACTCTATGTCAAATCCTTTTTGAGTTACATGCGACACAAGTTGAAAATTGCAAAATTTTACTAAGTCATGGGCAATAACTCTTGAAATACTAATAATATCCACAATAAAATACCCAGGTGCACAACTACACATGCTGCGCAACATTCCTGTAAAGTTTCATGACTCAAGGTCAAATACTTTTTGAGTTACATGCGACACAAGTTAAAAAATTGCAAAATTTTACTAAGTCAAGGGCAATAACTCTAAAAATACTAAAAATATCCAGACGAAAATACCCAGGTGCACAATTACATATACTGATCAACATTCCTGTAAAGTTTCATGACTCTAGGTCAATTACTTTTTGAGTTACATGCGACACAAGTTGAAAATTGCAAAATTTTACTAAGTCAAGGGCAATAACTCTAAAAATATCCAGACGAAAATACCCAGGTGCACAATTATACATGCTGATCAACATTCCTGTAAAATTTCATGACTCTAGGTCAAATACTTTTTGAGTTAATGTGCTACACAAAAGAGAACTGACAGAAGGACAGACGGAAGTCCGGCCAAAAAGGAATAAGGGGCCATTTCTTTTGTTATTTTCTATTCTTTAATAGAGGGCCAATGGCCCCTTACTCTATTGTTACGGAATGAACTCTATTGTTCTCTTTTGTTCCGTTTACAGTTAGATGGCCCCCTATCCTTATTCGGTAGTGCCGATGGACAGACGGACGGACAAGGATAAATCTAAATGCCCGCCACTAAAGTGGGGGCACAAAAATGCCGCCACATTAATACAACACTAAACAGTAGTGTGGGAACAGAATCTTTTTGTTTCTATACAAATGAACTTGTCATAATGCAGTTGAGTCTAGTGAATTTGGTGGTCAAGGTCATATTTCAGCCTGCCAAATAAAAGACAATTTGCAGATGTGTCTAGTGTTCAGATACAAAGGCAATTTTAAAATATATATAAGTATTCATACTTGACAAAAGTTTAGGTATTTACTGTATTGCATAGCTGTATTTAACTTGAAAATACAGTTACAGTAACTGTTTTTTTTTTTATTTATCATTATTTCTGCAAACTTTAAAAATCATTAAAGATCCTGTATGTTTTGTGATTGATATTGTTACTGTGTGTATACCACACTTGCAAAAAGTTATATATGTATATATTTATGCAAATAAAACAATTTTCAAACAGTGAAGAATATTTAAAATGTGTACTGCAAATATGTGTGAACATTATATTTAATCCATAAATTACATGCATTCATTTCTTTTTGGAAAATTTGACTTAAAATTGATAGAAAATAAATTTCTAATTACCTCCCTTTATTTACACGAAATGTTAAATTGGGAAATATCTTTATAAATAATGCTTATTGGAACTTACAATATTGACAAATCTTAATTTGAGCATTATATTTATGAAATAAAACCATGAAAAAATTGTGTTACAGGATCTTTAACAATTTAAAATCATCGTTATATACATGATGTGAATCAAATTGCTCAAATTATTTCAGAAATACTACTGCAAATCTAACATCTCTCTTGCTAGAGGTCATGACTTTTACACTAACTTCCAGCTATTGAATCTTTTAATAAAAAAATGCATATCATAAAAGCCAATTTTGACCCCAGAGCTTTTATTAAAACAAACTTGGTAGAAACCCATTGGAAGATTTTTCAGGCGGAATATCTAAGCTGGAGCATTCTGTATATCAATGATCCCTGGGGCAGGGACAACTTTGACACTAGAGGCAAAATTTGAACAACTTTGGTAGTAGACTTTTAGATGGTATCATATACTAAATATCAAAGCACTAAGCCTTGTACCTTCAGATTTTTAAATAAATGTACATAATGAAAATCAATGATCCCTGGGTGTGTCCAATTTTGATCCAATGGCTATAATTTGAACAATCTTGGTAGAAGTCTATCAAACAATTCCTTATGCTAAATAGCTATGCTCTAGGCCTTGTGGGTCTTCACAAGATTTTTTAAATTGATCGTTTTAATTTCTTTAGGTTGCCATAGCATCCAAAATTCTGCTTGGAATCAAATTCTTTGAACAACTTTGAAAGCCCTTCACCAATCACAATCCAGCCAAGGTTGGTTCAAACTGGAGTAGTGGTTTTTCACAAAATGATTTTCAAGTTCAGTATATAATCTATATAACATACATTCACACACAGGTGATTCGTTACATGCCACTGCATTGAGATGCTGTTATGGCATATCTGTGTATAGTTACAAAGAAATATGCACCATTATTATGATAATAAAAGTAGGTAAAATAATAGGCAAAGTTCACAGCAACAAATAAACCCAAACATAACTTCATTTTCACTAATCAATCACTTTATACACAGCCTACTACAATAACATACAGCAAGGTCTCTACGTAATTCATCAACAATTACTTAGTCAATTTATGTACTATCTACATCAGTTTAATCAGCTTATAGAATTTTAAATAACACTTTATTATACCAAAGTAGGAAACAAGAAAACATAGAAAATATTCCATATACAACAATTCAAATATTTCATATACAACAATTCATTTTGATTTAACTTTCTTGGAAAAAAATCTATACAATGCCCTTAAAAATGTCAGCCAATTATCATATATATTTTGAGCATAATATTTTAAAGTATACAAAAGCAAAATGAGCCACGTCACAACAAAACCAACATAATGGGTTTGCGACCAGCATGGATCCAGACCAGCCTGCGCTTCCACGCAGTCTGATCAGGATCCATACTGTTCGCTTACAGACCTAATAACCAGTAAAGAAACTGATAGCAAACAGCATGGATCCTGATCAGACTGAGCGGATGCGCAGGCTGGTCTGGATCCATGCTGGTCGAAAACCCATTATGTTGGTTTTGTCATGACACGGCTCAAATGTTAGTGTAATTCTATGCTTTCTATTTAACAGAATAACATGACAGCACCACTTAATCTATTACACATAATGATAGAGCACAATGTATAACAACAAGAATTATTTCTAACTATAGAAACTGTCTTAACCATAACTTTTATATTTGCTAATTGTTAAACTAACTTATCCTTGTTTGATCATTAACTAAAACAAAACAATTATACAAAAGCACTCTTACATGCGCCTCTTCATATAGTATATATACTGTTAGGTAAAAAATGTATATTTTAACATAATATATAATAATTTAAAGAACAAGTATTGAAATTATCAGTTTACAGGAACATGTAAAGGAAATGATATTATGCATAAATTAAACAGGCATTCTTCATGTGTAAAACAGTTCATTGAGCAAAAGCTAAATTTAATGAGCATGTAAATTGCAATATTTATCATTTTATCAGTTTCAAACATTTAAATATCACTGTTATGTTGATAGGAATGAAATGTTAACTCATTTAATCAAGATTAAGTTACTTGTATTGTTCACTTTGTTTAACTGATTCTTTTGTTAACATTTTAATTTCTATCAATAAACAATATAACATTATAAACAATATAAATAAAACAGAAGGAATAGTATAACTACTTGTATTGCCTGCTGAGATATCAAATTATGCATTTTTAGAAAAGAAAACAAGTAGACAATGTTGTATATAGATGACATGTACATGATGACTTGTTCAAAACACTTCACTATGATACTTTGAATTTAAATGAGCCGTGTCATGACAAAACCAACATAATGGTTTTGCGACCAGCATGGATCCAGACCAGCCTGCGCATCCGCGCAGTCTGATCAGGATCCATGCTGTTCGCTATTAGTATCTCTACATGTAATAGGGTTTGTAAGCGAACAGCATGGATCCTGATCAGACTGTGCAGATGCGCAGGCTGGTCTGGATCCATGCTGGTCGCAAACCCATTATGTTGGTTTCGTCATGACAACGCTCAAATTAACTTTTAAACATAATGTCTGATCTCTATTGCTATTCTCGAGACAGAAATAGTTATGTGATCTAGCAGCTATATTATTGAATTGTTCACCCATTTTTTGGCAATAAAACAGTTCAGAAGCACTCGATTGAATTTTGATCATTTTGAATTCAAGCATAGAATATATCTCAATACATCATTTTATTTACCAAAAAAAAACAACAAGAGTGTATTTAGTTTTAAATACATATTTCTCTACAAACTAGGGTTGTTATGTTTATCCATTTAAACGGATATGGTAAAACTGGAAAGACATCCACTGGAAGATGTTTCATGCCAAATATCTAAGCTTAATTTTTTTTACAAGATTATTTTAGATCTACTTATAAGGGAATCAATGACCCCTGGGGCAGGGCCAATTTTAACCCTATGGCATTCATTGGAACAAACTTGGTGGACATTCACTAGAAGATGTTTTATGCCAAATATCTAATCTATAGCACTTGTGGATTGTCACTCACAACAAGATTTTCTAAGTTTTAACAATATATACTTACAAAAGGAAAATCAATGACCCACTGGGGTGGGGTCAATTTTGACCCTTGGTGTTTTACTTGAACACACTTGGTAGACATCCACTGGAAAATGTTTCATGCTACCTCTTTTGGATTTTTACAAGAAGACTTTCTAATATTCTACTATATACATATAAGGAAAATCAATGACCCCTGGAGCATGGCCAATTTTGAACCTTAGGGCTTTTATTTAAACAAACTTGGAAGGCATTCACTAGAAGATCTTTCATGCTAAATATCTAAGCTTTTAGCTCTTTCACAGATGCTGTGGTGGCATAAAAAACTTATGTTGATAAGAATGAACAGTTATCTGTGCTGAAGAATTTTCATGACTTCTATCAGCCTAGTGTACATATACATCTAAAGTTATTCAAAGTGGTTACTGGTTATAGAAATAAACAATATTTAGTTTTAAATTTGATGAAAACAACACATGAAAATATAAAACACAATCATGGAATTCAAAAATCACATTATCACAGTTTTTAAATTACACTTCTGTTGTCAAATTGTCTGCCTTTACAGTAGATGTTCCAAACATGTTGGAATATTTTTTGTACAAGTCCATCCTGTTCCAATCCTGTAATGCCGCGAGTATTTTCTCATGTGTAGCTTGTTCTTTTTCAATATCTCTCCATCTCTTCAATATCTGGTATATGATTTCCTTTACTCCATGGGTAGAATAATTCAATTTCATTTCACTGATGTGAACATCTGCACCATTTGCTGAAAACAAAAATACCAGAATCACATCACATGTATCTTACCTGATTATTATTTTTAACTTAATAAAACATGAAAAAAAGTGGTGCAATATATACCTGGATAAACATAACCACCCTTTTCTTCTCGGATATTCTTTAAAAGTTTCTCTCTGATCTAAATTATCAATGGTGATGCATTGATATCGGATAGTCTTCGCTTATAATGTGGCACAGGCTTCAGTCTATATAAATCAAGTGATCCTGGGCAGGACCAATTTTGACCCCAAAGGTATGATTTAAACAATTTTAGTAGGGACCACAAGGGAAATGCTAAGGTGATGCTACATGCTAAATTTATAAGCTGTAGGTCAAAATCCATCAAGTGGTTTACCGAATTATGCATAATGATTGACACACTGCCATCACAAAAGATCACCATTGAGCATCTTTGCGAAAAGGTGAGCTACAAATCTTGTAAGATACAAAAACAATATGTTAGTACTTTGATTTTGAATATATACTTACTGAACAAGAATCTGAAAAATTGTGGATAATCTTGACTAATTAAATCCTCTCGGAGCTGATACATAACTGTGTTGCTAATTCCACTTGGTTGCTGATCTAGAATAGTAACAAAAATATATTGATCAACATAGATCTTTCTGAAGCATTTAGTTTATTTGTGCCTTTAACAGATAATGATTAATATAAAATTTAAGCACAAAAGTAATTTGTTATTGTTTTATGGTTTTAAATACTGCAAACTTTGCCAACTTTCATCATGTCTAGCTAACTTTTATCAATTTATGTTTGAACAATGTTTAATGTAATTTATAAGTATTACCTTGATAGTGTAAATGATTAGCTACTCCATTTTTCTCCTTATACATCCTGTCATCTCCAACCCCTGTGTATATATAAATAGTTATATAAGTTAAAGGACAGGATATATGGGAAAATATAGTTGTACTAAGGTAATGTATACAACATGGCATTTTAGCCTGACATCTGTATACATTTGACACTATATATCTGCATCAAAAACCTGTACCACATATTCATCATACCACATAATTACTACATAATTATTGTCATTGCAAACCTCAAAAGCTAGCTTGGCTAGGGCTTGATTATAAAGAATCCTCCATAACAACGCTAAAGCCATTTCACAATGACATAATTCAAAACTTGACTATACTGACAGCAATTTTCCCTGCAAATTGTTGAATTTATATCCCTAGCCGAGTTCTGGTTATTTCTATCACAACTAGACCTATGACTGAAGGTGATTAATACCCCTACCAGCAACTTTCACTTTTTGAAAAATAAGTGCTCTGAAGAAAAATTTGAACTCAACCTATGGTAAATGATTTATATCAACTGTGTACAAAAAATATGCGCATTTCCTCTTAATATTGACGATTCCCATAAAGTTTCGTTGAATTGTATTCAGTGGTTGCAGAGAAATAGCACAGAAATGATTATTGCCCTATATGCATACTGCATAACTAATCAAGGGCCATATTTGAAAGGTCTGACTGGAACAAGTCAATGATAAGCACATCTCTTGGTATTGAAGGTTCCAATAAAGTTTTGTTGAATTCCTGCCAGTAGTTGCAGAGAAGTAGAGCAGAAACAATTATTGCTCCAATGCATAATAAAGGGCCATAACTCTGTGTTTAAGGGTTTGCCTGGAACAAAGTGACAAAATATGCATCTCCTCTTGGTATTGATGGTTTCAATAAAGTTTTGTTGAATTCCTGTCAGTAGTCGCAGAAACATGCATGAAAATGAAATTCAGACGGACAGATGGAAGGACAGACAAGGTTAAATCAATATCCCCCGCCTGATTCCATTGGCGAGGGATAATAATTGAACAATGTATAACAACTTCTATATTTCTCACCATGAATTTTAAACATGAGCTTTGTTACATCACATGGTGCAAATGCTTAAAGTACAAAAGTTACATCTTATAAAAAGTGAAATAAAAGAAACAAGTTATGATAAAATCACATGGAAAGTAAGTGATATCGTGTGATAAACAACTATCTAAAAGTTCTGTCTTACCATTATGTGTGTTACTGAGAATGTCTGGAGGTATATCAATATGAACATCATCTTGATGTACTGATTTACTGTCATTCTGTGTACATTCCTGGTATGGTCTGAAACAAAGCGTTGAAAATAATATTATATAACACAAACCATGTGTCTTACCAGGTCTTTAATGTAAATAATGATACCTATAAAATACTTAAAATACATAGTTTATAGAAATGCCTGTTTACAGGTAATTAAGTCAGTGCCAGACACATAACTTTTTATACCAAGGTAAAGGTTGATTAGTATATTTTTCAAATATTTTACTGATACCATAGCAGTCATATCTACACCTGAAAAAGTGCAAATGTTAATAAGGTTTTCATATATACCTTATTTTAAACCTCAGATGACCCATATTCAAACATGAACTAGAAATCAAACAAACAACCTTTCTGACCAATTTCTAGGATATTTGGGCAAAAAATGTAAACCAAATAGTGTTTCCACATAAGGTTGCTATATACCAAGTTTGATTACAATACCTTATTTCAAACTCTAGTTATCCTCTGAAAACCATGACGTGGAACGCCCAGCTGAATAACCAACAGACAAGCTGACTACTATTTACCCCCCTAACTTCGTATTGTGGGGTATAATAACAAGAGGGCCCTATTGCCCTTTCCTTCTGTAAAGCCTTTTGTAAATATCGGCGGCACGAAATTTTTTATTAAATCGAGACCAATTCATGAGTCAAAGTTCCAATGTGTCAAAGTTTTTACTAATGTTCCTTCAACTTTGACTTACCCAAGTTCTACTGTATGTGTAGATCTGTTTATAACCAAGTAAGAGCAATTTGGTGTTTGTACCTGTTTATACAAATGACTCCACTTATAACGAACTCGCTTATTATAAATTATCGTTAATACCAAACCAAATCTGAAATCCCTGGCCGGTTCCTTTTTTAGTTTATATTAAATCACCGCTGAATATTTAATCGCTTAAAACAACTTTTCAGCTATAGCAAACAATTTTTACAAGTCACAAACAGCGAATAACACGCACATTTCCTTGGTTAAAACTGTTATAATTGAAATATCTGTATACACTCAATTACTGTCTGGTAATTATTCAAACACATGTTCATAATATAATGTTCAATAAAATGCCCCGCATAAATTATACCAGTCATCAGTGACAGGTATTGCATTTTCACAGCAAATTTACCCACCCAAACAAATCAGCGAAAGTTGTTGCTATTTCACTTTTAGTGAACTTCGGATATAACAAATGATATTTAAATGTCCCAAATGAGTTCATTATATGCTGAGTCGACTGTATAAGTGATGGCATGGAGATGCATATACCTGTTGATTATCTGGCAATGGCAATTTGACCTATTCATAGCCAGGTAAAGGGCAGATGGTAGTAGTTTTAATTTATAATCAAGTATTAATTTACAAGGCGATCCTTACAAAAATGTTTGTTTGCAGTAACCCGACCCAGAATTTTCAAGGTGGGTAGGTAGGTCGATTTTTTTTTTTATTGAACTGTACTCTCAAATAAACATGGAATTTCAAAATGCTGGACAATATATGCTTTGATAATCTGGTAACAATTAATAAATTGATAACTGACTTCTAATTTAACTAGAACTATCACTAAATGTGATTAATACCCCCACAAGTCTGCTTCGGAAATGAGGATGTTACTAGTAACAGAATACCTTGTAAAAGAATTGAAACATAGAGTTATGGTTGTGGGCAATTAAAGATAATTGTGGTTCATGTATGTTGCATTTCTTTTCAATGTGGTTGGCCATTGATGAAGTTTAATTGAATTACTCTGTAATAAGTCCAGAAAGACAAAGAAAAAGAACAAAGGGCAATAACTCTATAAATACTGAAGATAGAGTTATAGTTCTTGTGCACTGCACTTCCTCTTATTGTGCTTGACCATTGTATGAAGTTGTTTTGGATTCCAACCAGTGCGTTTTAAGTTATGCTCCGGACAAGGAAAAGTATCAAAGGGCAGTAACTCTGTATTTTGTCAAAATGGAGTTATGGCTCTTGTGCACTGCACTTCCTTTGAATGTCCTTAGCAACTGTATGAAGTTGTACTGAATTCCAAACAGTAGTTTTCAAGTTATGCTCTGGACAAGGAAAAGTAACAAAGGGCAATAACTCTGTAATTAATCAAGATGGAGTTATGGTTCTTATGCACTGCACTTCCTCTCAATGTGCTTGACCATTGTATGAAGTTATAATGAATTCCAACAATAAGTTTTCCAGTTATGGTCCGGACAAAAGAAAGCAATGGAAAAGTAACAAAGGGCAATAACTCTGTAATTAGTCAAGATGGAGTTATGGTTCTTGTGCACTGCACTTCCCCTTATTGTGCTTGACCATTGTATGAAGTTGTTTTGAATTCCAACCAGTAGTTTTAAAGTCATGCTCTGGACAAGGAAAAGAAACAAAGGGCAGTAACTCTGTAATAAGTCAAAATGGAGTTATGGTTCTTGTGCACTGCACTTCCTCTCAATGTGCTGGACCATTGTATAAAGTTATGATGAATTCCAACAATTAGTCTTCAAGTTATGTTCCGGACAAAAGAAAGCAATGGAAAAGTAATAAAGGGCAATTACTCTGTAATTACTTTAGATAGAGTTATGGTTCTTATGCACTGCACTTCCTCTCAATGTGCTTGACCATTGTATGTAGTTATATTGAATTCCAACCATTAGTCTTCAAGTTATGGTCCGGACAACAAAAAGAAGGCAATGGAAAAGCAACAAAGGGCAATAACTCTGTAATTACTTTAGATAGAGTTATGGTTCTTGTGCACTGCACTTTCCATTATTGTGTTTGACAATTGTATGAAGTTGTTTTGAATTCCAACCAGTAGTTTTCAAGTTATGCCACGGACAAGGAAAAGTAACAAAGGGCAATAACTCTGTAATTAGTCAAGATAGAGTTATGTTTCTTACGCACTGCACTTCCTCTCAATGTGCTTGACCATTGTATGTAGTTATATTGAATTCCAACCATTAGTCTTCAAGTTATGCTCCGGACAAGGAAAATGCAACGGACAAAAAAAAGCAATGGAAAAGCAACAAAGGGCAATAACTCTGTAATTACTTTAGATAGAGTTATGGTTCTTGTGCACTGCACTTCCCCTTATTGTGTTTGACAATTGTATGAAGTTGTTTTGAATTCCAACCAGTAGTTTTCAAGTTATGCCCAGGACAAGGAAAAGTAACAAAGGGCAATAACTCTGTAATTAGTCATGATAGAGTTATGGTTCTTGTGCACTGCACTTCCTCTCAATGTGCTTGACCATTGTATGTAGTTATATTGAATTCCAACTATTAGTTTTCAAGTTATGCTCCGGACAAGGAAAATGCAACGGACGTCTGGACCGACCGCCCGACCGACCGACCACCGGGTGACTCCTATATACCCCCCCAAACCTCGTTTTTGGGGGTATAATAAGACCTACAGTTAATTTCTTCCATTAACCTTTAAAAGAACGAAAACAAAGCACAAGGCATAATTTTCTGATTCAAAAAATTTTTTTTTATCCAGACCATGAAAAAAAATTTTGAGTAGGGGCAAATTTTGTGAGTCGGTCGTGTTACTGCAAACAAACATTTTTTCAAGGATGGCCCAAGTAAAACGTTTTCTTGCGGAGAACATTTTTTAATGATATAAGATATTTCATTTAACTATTTTCAACATTGTTTGGCGGGGATAAATAAACGTTTGTATCAGGATTATAGTTGACAATAATCGATAAATATAAAAAAAGGTCATTGGAAACTGGTGACCGAATTTGAAGACCTGAGACCGGAAAAGGTCGAACATAAAACAATTATTTCTTGTTAAGAAAATGATTAAACACCATTTTCTGAATAATTCCGAGCAAAAAAATTAAAGTAAACACACAAGTTTACGCAGAAAATATCTCTATTTAGTATGGCAGATACCACTACGAATATTTTAATTTTGTAGATTTTCAGTATAAACAATTTATTGTTTGTACAATTTGAGATAGATATTAAAGAAACATTGATAATTTTCAAACACATCATTCAAGTTTTACCACCTTAAACGGTAAAATAATAATAGAAAATAAGAAATATTCACTTAATAGTTTTTTGTTGTTAATTAGGTGTTATTCGGACTAATTCCCTAGAGGTAAATCTGTAACGTACCGGAAAACAGTATTAGCTAGGTTTTTCGAAAAGGTCAATTAACCAATCATGTACGGTTTACAGATCACATGTTCTTACATGTACCGAAAACAGGTCACATGCTCCTCCATGCCTCAAAAGTTAAACGTGTACCAATACCAAGTAAAAGACACTGATATATTTTTACCAGGTCAAGGCAGAATTAAATTTACCTGTAACAACACCTGCAGAGAACCTTACGTAAATGAGCACATCTTTCTTTCCTCAAACATAGACAGCAGACGAGGGTGACAACCACACCAATCATGATCAGAAACCCTACACCAATGCCACTAATAACAGGAAGAGGAAACACTGAAAAGAAGGAAAAATTAACAAGATATGTTTGTAAAACATGTATGCCCCCTATCGGCAGTCAATTAGTCAAGTGGCTTAGTAATTGTGACTGACTTTTGACCTTGTAACCAAACAAGAGCTGTCACAGGAGACAGCGAAGCTCGACTAATAAAATACTGGACGCAGTAAGGAGGACAAAACTATGAAAGAAAAATCAATTATGTATAATTATGTATTAAGTTATAATAAAAAAATAACATTTGTTAACACAAGCAATTATCATAGTATTGCAAGCAATCCATAAGTCCCCTACCGGTTAGAAACCCATCAACATTCTGAAGGGCCATTGGCCATTCACTAATGTTTCAATTTTTCTCTATTTTAAGTAAATTTGTTGGAAAAGTTCTTTAAAAGTGATCACAGGAAACAGTTTTTATGAACAGACAGACAGACGGACTGAAGGACACTCTAAAGTTAATATTTGAAACATCCCTGTTACCAAAATATAACATTTTAAAAGCAAAATTCTTAAAGAGGAGATAACTCTTGAATTAAAGATGCAATTTCATAAAAATTTTCAGCTCTTTTTGACAAATCACAATATATTTGCCATGTTTTAAGCCTATTTGCTGCCAAGGCAACAGATATTTTTTCAAAATAGGAAGAACAGATAAGACATGCATAATCTCAAGACTGCTATCTACCCATATGTAAAGTTTCATAAAAATATTTCCAGTACTTTTTGTGTTATCACTGGATCCAGTTTATGTGTAAAATTTGCCATATTTTCAGCCTATTTGTTGCCATAGCAACCAGAATTTTCAACATAGGAAGAAAAGAAAAAGACGTGCATAATCTCAAGACTGTCATCTACCCATATGTCAAGTTTCATAAAAATATTTCCAGTACTTTTTGCGTTATCACTGGATCCAGTTTATGTGTAAAATTTGCCATATTGTCAGCCTATTTGTTGCCATAGCAACCAGAATTTTCAACATAGGAAGAAAATAAAAAGACGTGCATAATCTCCATACTGCCATCTATCCATATACCAAGTTTCATAAAAATATTTTCAGTACTTTTCAAGTTATCGCAGGATCCAGTTTTGTGGACGGACGGACTGACAGACGGACGGACAGATGGACAGACAGACGGACAGACAGACGGAGGGTAAACCTAAAGTCCCATCCGGTAAACCGGTAGGGGACTAATAAATTCCAAGATCAAGGGGAATAATTCTAGAAATAGTCATGCTAGAGTTATGGACCTTGCCACACAACATTTGTGTAATGATAATAAATATATATTTGAAGTAGATACCTTAAAAAGTAAAGAAGTTATTATATTTCTTAAAGAAAATCCTAAGTTCAAAGAGAGATAAATCTGTAAATATTGCTTCAAGAGTTATGAACATTGTCACATAAAATGTAATTGATGATAAGGAATAAGTATTTGAAGTTAGAGGTAGATACCTTTAAAAATAAAAAAAGTTATAATAAAAAATAACATTTTCCTAGTAAAAAAATCTAAGTTTATGGGGAGATAATTCTTGCAATATTGGTGCTAGAGTTATGAACCTTGTCACATAAGATGCAGATGATGATAACGAAAAATATATTTGAAGTATGAAGTTGATCCCTTTAGAAATAAATAAGAAACAGTAAAAAATAATATTTTTTATGGAAAATTCTAAGTTCAAAGGGAGATAAATCTGAAAATATTGGTGCTAGAGTTATGAACCTTGTCACATAAGATGGGAATGATGATAACGTAAATATATTTAAAGTATGAGGTTGATCCCTTAAGAAATAAAGAAGAAACAGTAAGAAATAGTATTTTTTTTAGGAAAATTCTAAGTTCAAGGGGAGATAAATCTAAAAATATTGGTGCTAGAGTTATGAACCTTGTCACATAAGATGGGGATGATGATAACGAAAAATATATTTGAAGTATGAGGTTGATCCCTTAAGAAATAAAGAAGTAACAGTAAAAAATAGTATTTTTTAAGGAAAATTCTAAGTTCAAGGGGAGATAAATCTGAAAATGTTGGTGCTAGAGTTATGAACCTTGTCACATAAGATGTGGTTGATGATAAGGAACATATATTTGAAGTTTGAAGTTGATACCTTAAGAAATGACAAAGTTATAGTGAAAAATATTTTACTGCACCAAAACTTTAATCTAAAATCTGGACGCGGACGCCGGGGCGAGTAGGACAGCTCTCCATATACTTCGTATAGTCGAGCTAAAAAATCAATAAAGTTTATCTTAAAATGTGAACACAAAACGCATTTTTAGTTTAATAAAAATATCAACCAAGGCAACTTGTGTTGAGTTATTGGTCAGATATCTTTTTGGCGTACAATGTCAATGTTACTTTGACTTTTGACCTTTAAATCAATAGGGGTTATCTACTACTGGCCAAGACCAATGCACCTGTGAAGTTTGATAGTAAAGGGCCCATGAGTTGTCCAGATATTGATCAGAAACCGTTTTTAACTATTGGTCAATGTGATCTTGACCTTTGACCCCAAAATCAATAGGGTCATCTAATTGCCAAGAATAATGCAACTATGCAGTTTGAGCGCCAAGGGCCTATGGGTTGTCAATTTATTGATCGGAAACAGTTTTTACCTACAAGGTCAGTATGACCTTTACCTTTGACCTCTTGACCCCAAAATCAATAGGGGCCATCTAATGGCCATGACCAATGCACCTACAAAGTTTGAAGGCCAACAACCCATGGGTTGTCAAGTTATTGATCAGAAACTGTGTCACCTTCAAGGTCAATGTGGCCATGAGCTTTGACCCATTGACCCTAAAATCAATAGGGGTCATCTACTTGCCAAGACCAATTCACCTACAAAGTTTGAGGGCCAACAGCCCATTGGTTGTCAAGTACTTGATCGGAAGCTCTTTTTACCTACAAGGTCAATGTGACCTTGACCTGTGACCCCTTTGACCCAAAAATCATTATAGGTCATCTACTGGTCATAAACAATGTCCATACCAAGTTCCTATGCCTAAGCATTCTTTGGTTATTGATCAGAAACAATTTTCCAACTGACTGACCTACTGACAGACAAATGTAAAGCAATATACCTCCACTTCTTTGAAGTGAGGCATAGTTAACATGCAGGTGTTAAAATCATGATTACAGTGATAATCATAATTACAATCATGGTTTCCAGGCTGAAATAATTTAAATAATCAAATTAAACATATTAAACATCTTGAACAAAGATGGCAGCTCAGAGTTAAGCCTAAAATTTTCCATCTATTCAGGGGGTCCAATTTCAATTAATTGCAATTCCTTCCAGGGTCTTCATATAAGCTTGCTTTATACTAAATTTGATTATAATATCTCATTCCTAACATTGTCTGAAAACAATTTTTCAGACTCTGATGATGTTAATTGCAAATGCCGAAAGTAGTCCGCTTTTTTTAAGCGGTTACTTCCCTTTATATGTACACCAAAGCCGAAAAATTCAGGGGATATCACTGAGTAAAGATTGTCAAATGACAGGCGCATTAATTTTCACGCAAAATAGTTCCTGAATGGTCGAAGATTTCTAATATTGTTTTATTTTTTATAGATATACTGCTTATAGTAAGCTCCATGATTATTTACATCTGTGTTAAACAACAGGTTTAGCGTCGAAATAATAAGAGTTACAAACCTTAATATAGAATAATATGATTTTCTTCAGGCCGTTAACATATAACTTCACCACGGCCGAAGGGTTTGCACGCTCACTTAGGAATCGAGAGGTCTGGAGTTCAAATCCAAGTTAAAGCAACTCATTTTTTTTAATTGTTTAAGTCAAATAAACATTGAATTGAATATCAGTGATGCAATTAGTCTTATAGCCAATTTACTACAGTTAAAACACTGGAAAGCATTGGTGGCACTATAAAAAAAAAATTGGTTTATAATCTCACACCCTTCACCTTTCTAACATTCTGAGACCCAAACAAATTCAGCCCCTTCTGTGCTTTCATTAACTGATATTATCATCTGGAAACCATTTTTCTATTTTAGTGATCTCCACCCCAAGGGGTCTAAAAGCAAACCAATCTGGAGTATTCATATAAGCTTGCTATATACCAATTTTGACAAGAATTTGTAACAGAGTTACCAACATCCCTAAGGGACGTTTAACATGAATCACAAAATTGTGCTTATTCAAAAGATTGAGACATGAATCTAGACTTTCAGTGCAAAATTTTGATCAATGCAAAATCAGCACATGCAAGTAACAATCAATTCATGAAAGAAATATATAGAAATGTTTGTGTCAATAGAAATAATTTTGCATACTTATCACTATTTCAAAGCCACAAAATGACAAATACAAAATCAATACAGGATATGGTCTGTTACTGGGTATATTTAGTGTCCAGTCATCGATCATCAACCAATGACATTTTCATACCCTGTAACAGACTATTTTAGTGGGACCTTGACCTTGGAGGTAAGGTTCCAGTTGTTGCGCATAACACATCGTCTTATTATAACAAACATTTGTGCCAAGTTATTTAAAATTCCTTTGATAAATGACATAGTTATAGACTGGACACGAAAATGTGACAGATGGACAGACGATTTTTCATTTCTTATTCTAGGTATTGTGCAGAAATAATTTTTCTATTTTTAGTAATGGTGACCTTGAAGTTTGATTATAATATCACATTGACCAAACTCTAGTTGTTGTCTAGAAACCATTTTTCTGTTTTTAGTAACAATAACCTTGATCCCAGAGGATCCAAAAGCAATCCCATCCAGGGTCTTCATAATTATAGGCTTACTCAATACCAAGTTTGATTACAATATTTTATTCCTCACTTCAGTTATTGTCCAATTTTAAGTAAATGGTTACTTTGACCCCAGGGGGTCCAAAAGCGATTCAAACTTGGGTTTTCACATAAGGTTGCTATATACAAAACCTCATTCCAAACTCAAGTTATCTTCCAGAAACCATGAAGTAGACTGATTGATCGGCCAACAAGCTGACTCCCACATACCACCTAAACTTTGTTTGTGACAAAGATTATAAATGGCCTAAGCACAAGCGAATATCTTTTAGCTTTTAATATAAAAAACTTCTGTTATTTATAATATTGTAACTGAATGTTTTTACCAGTAGGAGGGCGACATACTGTATCCGCATCTGGCCGGCACTGTTTATATTTCCTCATTTCTGGAGGGCATTCACTACACTGCTCACATGCTTCTGTTGTAGAGAAGTTGACAGAGAAATATCCATGCTGGCATTCTCCACATACTGTGTTTGATGATTCATTTCCTGAATAAATAAAACACTGATATATTATGTAAAATCTATATAAATTATTTAAGAAATGTTGTAGTTAATCATAATTTGTCTACTACAGTCTAAACTATATCAACAATCACCTTACATCATATATCCCTGTTTCAAGTCGACAGAGCTGTCATCGATAGAGGCGATATCGATGTATCGTTGATATTTCTCAGTCAATTAATAATAAATACACATTTGAAACTAGGGCAACATTGTCACAAAATTATTATATAGTGACGCCCGTCACAAAAGCTTTTGTCAGAGATGTGGGCATTATAGATATGCATATAGGAGATATACTCTGGGCATAATTTCCGGACAATACCTGGATATCTTATCATCTCTAGTGACCTTGACCTTGCAAATATCAACTTAAATTATATGTGTCACACTTGTAGACATGATAGTTATTCTTTTGTATTACAATCCATCAATAAATGATGACTAAATGGTCCCTGTACACAAACTTTGACCTCTCAATGTGACCTTGACTTTGGTAGCAAGGACCTGGATTATGTGCACAATACTTAGCTTCACAATGTTAGTCATGTGAATGACCATTTGTGTTTCAATACTTTTCAATGTTTTTTCTATTTTTAGTAATGGTGACCTTGACCTAGATCCCAGGGGGTCGGAATGCAATACCAACCCAGGTCTTCATATAAGCTTGATATACGACAAGTTTGATAACAATATCTCATTCCTAACTCTAGTTATTGTCCAGAAACCATTTTTTTATTTTCGGTAATGGTAATCTTGACCCCAGGGGGTCCAAATGCAATACCAACTGGATTCTTCACATAAAGTTGCTATATACCAAGTTTAATTACAATACCTCATTCCAAACTCTAGTTATCATCCGAAAACCATGATGTGAATTGACCGACGGACGGTCCAACCGACCAACCAACCGAAGGAAAAGCTGACTCCTATATACGTTTGTGGGGGTATAATTACATGTTTACACTGGTAGTCATGATAATGACCATTTGTGTTTCAATCACTCCATAAATGATGACTTAATGGTCTGAGTACACATTTTCATATTTTTATCTGAACTTTGACCCCTATGTGTGACCTTGACCTTGGTTGCGGGGAACTAAATTTTGCACGCAACACTTCACCTCACTATGGTGATCATTTGTGCAAAGTTATATTGAAATTCTCTCTGTATGTGGAAGTTTTGCTCCGGACAAGAGTTTTTTTAATGACCACTTAGTGTGACCTCTACTTTTGACCTAGAGACCAGGTTCATGTGCAAAACACAGCTCCTCATAGTGATGAACATTTTTATGAAGTTTCATTAAAATTTCTCAATGCGTGTAGGAGATATGCTCCAGACAAAATTGTGGATGCTGCCTGCCACTGGGTTGAAACTATAATAATTGAAACTGTAGAAATAGACAATATAAGGTATTTCTATTTTAAGCTTTAGCGGCCCAGTACAAGGGGCCAATAAAATTGATATGAGCAAACTTGATAAAAGACTTCCCAAGAATGCTACAGACAAAGTTTGGTGATCATCCATCCATAAATTAGTTCTGTAGAAGAAGATGTTTAAAGGTTTTTCTATTTTTAGCTCTGTTGACCCCTTAAAGGGGACAATTAAAATGACATGAGCAAATTCAAGTGCAACTGTCACTAGTCACTACAGACCAAATTTGAAATAAATCTGCCCAGCAGTTTCAGAGACGCTGGACGCCGGAACATCCCCCTTTGATTATATATACTTATATAGCTCACCCTGAACCTTCAGTTCTGGTGAGCTAATAAAACAATGAAATAAACATCAGGATCATATTATCGTGATCCTGATCTTTTCTAAGTGATCACGGGGCCTGGACTAATATATCCTTATGACATGTATTAAGTTTCAATTGGATACCTTCAGTAATAGAACCTCCTGAATTAAAAATATTTTTGTTTTTTCCCAGCTTATACCAGGACAAACATTAATTTACAGTTATAACTTCAAAAGTGCAATTTAGAGGTTGACTTACCTATTGTGACAGGTAGTGCAATATAAAGCTTAGATTACAGTACAAGATAGTCTGCATCAGATGTTTAGCTTGTAAAAACCCACATTTGCCAATTGAGGGTTAACATCTATTTTAAAGCAAAACTCGAACAAAAATATCTGTCTGCAATATCCATGTCACAGTTTCAGAGTTATGGGCCTTGAAAAGTGGCCTTGCATGATTTTGCATAACATTGATCAGTATAAAATTAATTATGAAGTGTTAACATTTTTTTTTGTTAATCTGTTGGCAAGTACATTTATAGAGAACAAAATTATTGCATATCCAATGTAGGATGGTTCACGAAAAATTGTTGACAGGCACAATGTAGGGACTTCTCAGGGCTTTTTCTCCTTCTATAACAGGGGGCCGATATAAGGCCCCTTCACAATTCAAAATTGCACTTTTTTTTCACGTGGAAGAAAAAAATTCACAATTTCAAAAGAGATTTCACAAAATATAGGGACTTTATCTTCGAAATACATTGTTTACCTTCCAGTAAAACTTGATTCACTCCAATTGCAATAACACAAAATAGTTTTAATCAATATAAATGTTTTTGTGCATGTTAACCAAGTTAATGTACTGACTTGAAGCAGATTTAACACAGGTCAGAAATTAATATCAACTGTTTCCGTTTTCAAAATGTCACGAATTTTATGACACATCGCACTTTTTTTCACAAAATGAACAGGCCTATCCCCTTTACAATTTTGACAAAAAATGCCCTGCTTCTAGCTCATTATAATATAAAACACTCAAATATTTACAATTACATCATAACATAATGCCAAGTGAGGAATGACCCCAAAAAGGTTTCTTAAAGATATACTATGCTCAAATTTGATTTTTAAAATATTAATAATTGTTACACAGTCCCTTTTCATGTATAAAATAAACATGTTTCGACTTCATTTAAAGTAGATATGTTGTGTTTTGAACTGGACACACTATAGGTGGTCACAATATGAATATATACGTGTCACTAAAAAAAACTGGCCATTTTTTTTTTAAGAAAAGACCAACTTCACTTGACTTGTAATAGGGAATGCAGCTTCCCATACATATTTCATTCTTTATATTATTCAAATTAAATAAATTCAGTAAGAATTTCATGGAATTCAATACATTTCTAAGATAAAAAAAAATTTACCAAAAGATGAGCATAGTATATCTTTAAGCATGCAGGTATTATGAAAAGACAAGAGAATGAAACTAACTGAATTGCTGAATATTGTTCTTTGTATCATTGTACCTGTAAGCTCTAATTGTGATAGCATGGACCTTCAAAATATAAGTGTGACCTTGACATTTCTAGAATAGAAGTGGTTCCTGGACACAACAAAATGTTGTTATGAGATAGACATTTTGTGCCAAATTATTTCAAATCCCTCAATGCATGACAAAATTACAGTCTGGACATGATTGTTTGTTTAAGTTGAGACACACGGACAGACCGACATGAGCCTTCAAGTCGCGACACATTGTCTTGATGTGGTAGACATTTGTGCCAAGTTACAGTCCGGACATGCATGTGTTTTCGAGAGAATGTACCTTCAAACTATAAGTGTGACCCTGACCTTGAAGTTAGGGACATTGGTCCTTGTCCTGACATGTCTTCTTGATATGGTAGACATTTATGCCTAGTTATTTTAAAATCCTTCCATGCATAAGTTACAGCCTGGACACGAATGTGTGTATCTATAAACTCTAAATGTGATGAAGTCAACTTCAAAATGGTAATGTGACCTTGACCTTTGGGGTTGGGACATGATTATTGGAGGCGACACATTGTCTTGATATTGTAGACATATGCAAAGTAATTTTAAAATCCTTCCATGCATGACAAAGTTACAGCCCGGACACGATTGTGTGTACTTATTTATTCTAATTGTGATAATGTGAAACTTCAAAATGTTAGTGTGACCTTGACCTTTGAGGTAGGGACATGGTTCTTGGACGCAACACATCGTCTTGATGTGGTTGACATTTGTGCCAAGTTATTTTAAAATCCCTCAATGTATGACACAGTTACAGTCTGGACACCAATGAAGTGGGATAGACGGATGGTGGGATTATATTATGCCTTCCTTGGGGGGCATAAAAATACAAGTATGGTCATGTTCTTTATGGATATGATATGTAACATAACTCAGACATTATAAGTCAGGTCAACCTTCTTAACTGTCATTTTAACTCAGTCTCCTTGCTGACCTCTTCTGACAGGTTACACTGTTGAAGAAAATATCAGCTATTTATTATAAAACTAGTACCTTGAGCTATTACACCTTTTCCAGGGGGGCAAGCAGCCATCTTTCTACATACTCCATATTGACCAGGTTCCCTGTAAAAGCCGTCCTGACATTTACAGGAGATGTTAGTTTTAGTGGTACAACTTGTAGTTACATATTCCCGGGAATCACATTCTTTTCCACACTTGGCACATTTTATCCAATGATTATAAATATGACTGAAAAATCCCTCATCACAAGCCCGACATTGTGAATCCCCTCCATCTGTTGTACAATTAGCTACCAAATGATAACCTGGCGGGCATAACTTACACGTTATATTTTGTCCATTATCCAGGGTCACCACAAAAGTTCTACTTTCCCTATCCAAATTTGCATAACAGACCTGGATTAAATTCCAACTTATAAATATAACTACAGTAGCTACAACTGCTTCAACCCTCATCTTTAACTTTTATGATGTAAAACCTGGAAAAAATAAAACAAAATATCATAATTTTGAGAAGAAAAAACAAAATAACAAAAGTTGGTACATTTCATGATTTAAATAGCTCACACACTTATGTCCCAAATTCTAAACTTTAGTTTTCTTAAAGCATATGACTGACATTTCTTAAATGATCACAGAAATGAAACTTAATCATACAAAATTGATAGAAATCTCTTCTTTTGTAACTTATGCTATGATGCACTGAGTAAACTGTGTATAATCATTTATACCTGGTGTAAAAGTACAACAAATCTACAATAGTAAGGTAGTGCAATGTAAACAACTTGTCCTTGCTTATAAATCTTTGTGTAACTTCTGTACAATTAAAACATCAATATTATATTTGAGCCATGTCACAACAAAACCAACATAATGGGTTTGCGACCAGCATGGATCCAGACCAGCCAGCGCATCCGCACAGTCTGATCAGGATCCATGCTGTTCGCTTACCAATTCTATTACAAGTAGAGAAACTGATAGCGAACAGCATGGATCCTGATCAGCCTGCGCATCTGCGCAGTCTGATCAGGATCCATGCTGTTCGCTTACCAATTCTATTACAAGTAGAGAAACTGATAGCGAACAGCATGGATCCTGATCAGACTGGAATCATGATGCTGGTCGCAAACCCATTATGTTGGTTTTGTCATGACAGGCTCATTTATAGGTTGTTACAGATCTTCTTTTATTATTCATATATGAAAAATTAAGGTAGAATTATATTTCATATGGACAATGCAGTTACTCTCACTGCGTGCTTTATTTACAGTTTGACGTTTAAATCAAATCGATACCTTTCAACAAACATAATTCCCTATAACGTAAAATTTCTATTAAACGTCCCCAGGGGCTAAACATTTTCCGAATTCCCGGGGCTATTATTACAATACAGTTTTTCCTAAATCCAAAAATCACTGTATATACATTTAGTGGTAATAACATTAAAAAGTGTTAAGGTATCAAAGTTCATATTCTACATATTAATGTTTACTATAAAATACTATGGATTAATTGGCTTTAATTACGAGTTCAGCACTTATGAGATGATTGTTTTCCTTAAAATATGCATAAATTTATAGCCCCTACTGCATAAGTAATGCAGTAGAAATATGGTGATAAATATTACAAAAGTTTTAGTATGGTTTTTCCAAGTTAAATTAAATTTTCTTGAAATATTTTGGGTCATGAGACTGGAGGCATGCAGCTTTAAAACTATGTTAACGCAAACCATTTTTAAACAAAGTTCAAGGCACTGAAACTATTCAGTGTTAACCTTTTGTAAATTGCATGTTGCATATTTGTAGCCAAAATAATGGGTACATACATTTCCACAAAAGTACACAATTTGAGTATTAATCTTTTAAGCTTTCACTTAATATACAACTGCAACCAAAATTATTAAAGTGTCCACAGTTAGCATGTTGATTTTATAGCAGCTTGTTATATAATACCTTATATACCTTTAACATGTATTATGTTATCAGCTGTTTGACATTTGATGTCTACCAAATAATCCATGATTATGTTTCACACACTGAATATTTTAAACTTTCATGTATAAAACATAAAGCTATGTCATAAGTAATAGATATACCATTGCTGTGTTGACGATTTCTGGGTTTGCGTAAATTATACCATAACCACGTGACCTTTCTTATGCCGTAACCTCACGAGACGAAGTCAAGTGAGGTTGCATAAGAAAGGTCACGTGATTATGGTATAATTTACCCAAACCCAGAAATCGTCAACGCACCAATGGTGTATCTGTTTTAACCTATAGCTCCGCCCAGAAACACTTACTCGTTCGATCTTAAAAACTGAAAATTATACCATAGTCTGGGTATGGTATAATTTACGGTTATTGGAAATTATACTTGGAAGAATTTTACATAAAAAGCGCTGAAGAGCTATAGGTTAATAATGTGTAGTCAAAATGTTTCAAAATAGTAACTATAGTTAAATATTCACCATAAACACATTACAACTAAGTCCAAATAATCAAAAAATTTAAATAAAATTTGATTATTATACAAATATTTATGTATAACTTTTGTGTTTACTTAAGTTACATTAACACTGTGAAGGTCATATGTAAATGTTTTCCAGATCAGCACCAGTATTATTAGCACCATCCACTGAGTGTGGACTCTATGATTAAATGAGAATCAATGACCTTCAGCTACTGGTCAATAACTCTTTGACATATGAAAAATAAAACAAAACAAAAAACAAAAACATATGAACATGGCTAATATAAAACAAGATAATAATGCTTTGATTTAAACATTGACTCACCTGAGTTGCACATTTTCAAAGTTTAGATTGAACAAAATTTTATTGTGAATTCTAGCTTACAATATCATGACATCTGGTTATAAATCACTATTATATGTCAGTAAGTTATTAACTCCTACTACTTTAATTGTTAAGACACAAATATATGTCATTCATCAAGAATAAAACACAGTAACATTACACAATTCTCTAATAATGTACTACATACCTCATGTCTGCATGAAAGTAAACAGCAAATTAAATGACTAAACAATACTGAACTCAATTATTACAAAATACCTCCAGTAATCCTACCTCTGTTATATTGTTGCAAAAACAGAAAAGTAATGCCAGCTGCTTAAATCATGTAGCATTTGTACAATAGTTATACAGTGTGAATTCCTGAGAATTCGCATATAATATGTTATACTGTGTAACATTACAAATTTGACCAGAGAATGACTGTAAAATTATTGATTTCATATTTATGTTTGACCTGTACACATGTGGTCATTCACCTGTACATGCACTTCATAATGAATCTATAACAAAAATATCCACTACTATAATCTTGCCTCCAACATTATATTTATTATACATTTATATTCTAATGTAACTAATAGAACAGATTCGTCATAAAATATCATATTTAATTAAACACTATATGATATATTTATTTATTCATATGTTTATCTGAATTTGTCGATGGTATAAATAGATCTATATAATTAAAGTATCTTTAGATCATTATAATATCGTGACGAACAAAAAATTGAAATACAGATAAAGTTTGCCTCAGTTTTTTAACCTCTTGTTCATGAGTGTAACTTTATGAAGTACAGTTTAAAATTATATCAGGAATTCCTGTTAATTTATGCAATGTTAGAGTTTTCACTAGATCTATATAATTATAATATTATAAATCTACCTAGAATACATGTACAGATCATGGTTAATACTTGAGGTATATCTCATCAATAAAAGTTGAAAGTTACATTTTTATAATCATATAATTTTTTTTAGATAAAAATATTTCATTTGTCCTCATTCAATAATTAACAACATTTTAACATTCTAACATGTTTTACAAAATTCCACTTTACAAAACCCAACCAAATAGGTTCTCAACTAGTCTGATGGTAAACAACATGTATTGACCTGCCTTTCCATTTTAATGAAAAAAATTAGTACCGTAATAATTCTATTTAGCGCCAATCCTCTAATAGACGCCCACCCGCCCATATATTGGACAAAAAACGGCCATTTTTCAGCCAAAAGTTGAAAAATTAACTGCCCCTTTTAAACGCCCATCCCCCGATTTGAGTACAATTCAGCTTACCTTTAAAATTCAAGTTTCCTTATTTCCGTTTTCACGTAGGAACGAACTTCCTTTTTCTTGTCTTTTTTTCCGTAAAGTTTATATGTACACGGTATTTCAATGCCACCACCTTTTACAAAAGTTCCTTTTGATGACGAACGCGGTTCTCCAAGTATTTCGGCACAGATTTCTACAATAAGTCCATCTTTGAATAATTTTGTAAGAGGCTGACATAATCCCTCCGGTATATGTCCAACAAGAGATCCATTATTTTTTACGATAATTGCGCTATCACTATGTTCATTTTCTGGTTCCAAATTACACTGAAGTATAGTTCCGACTGGGCATGTATATTTGTAAACGTGATATCCCTTAATAACAGATTTTATAGACACAAGCATAGGTGTTGCCATAATTCAATGTGTTTTGTGTATAAGATATATATACATATATAAAAAATAACCATTCCGAGATGCTAAAACTCACGCGCCTATTTCATTATGTCAGCAAGGTCAACGTGCGTGGTTCAATGTATTGGGCCCCAACATGGGAGATTAGTTCTGATTAAAATTATTTTGAACTATAGACGATTGTCTTTTTATATCAAAATTCCGCATCCATCCCTTTAGGAACATATATGCTTGTGTCAGTAAAATCGGTCAGAACTATTCTTACTTTTTTTTAACAATTATATTGGCGGGTAAAAAATGCATAATGATCGGAATCAAAATATTCCATTGACTTTTTGAATTGTATAGAACATCCCAGATTACAGAGTTAATTGGTAACCTTACATAAATATTTCGTTCTGAAAAATCATAATATTTTTGTAGTAAAAATGCGTGAGGCTCATTTTTTATTCCCGTGCTCGGAAACTGGACTCTACATGCACAGTATTAAAGTGCGGAAAAGAACAGACTTTAGCAGTGGTACGTTACGATACCGAAATCGACTTTAGCGTTGTCTGCAATTATAAATCAACATCCGCTCTATCTTCGGATTCGTTATGAGGGGCGAGTGGATTTATAAAGCCTTGCTTAGAAAATTAGTTTGTCTTATGAAGATGCGTCTCCAATTAACGCCCATCCCCAACTTTATAAAAGTCTATGATTCTTATAAAAGCCCGGGCGCTAAATAGAATTATTACGGTATTTTGTTTTCTAGGGCTATAACATTTATAACTATAAATACAACATATCCTCTACAGATTTCCATGTGAAACAGAGCTTTACCATAGGTTCTATCAGAAACATAATTTCTACATTAAAAGACAGACAGGTTACAGCTAGAATATATCAGAGTTTTAGATTAAACATTCCTAGAAACATTGATCAAGACACAAAAAATATATTTTCTCAATTTACAACAAGACAAACATGTTATATA